GGACATCGCAGGCCGAGAGACCCGGGGGTGAAGGTTGAGCTGATGCGCCGCGTACCTCACCGCAAACGGCCACAGAAAATGGGGGGCAGCCGCATGCATCATGGACGTACGAGCGACATCCATGACCATGCCAATGCGGCGCTCAGCAATCCCATTTTGCTGTGGTGAGTCCGGAAGCGTGAAGGTCTGGCGGATCCCCCGTGCACGACAGTAGTCTCGCAGAAGGCGAGAAGAGAACTCTCCGCCTCTGTCAGAGTGCAGACGCAGAACAGGAAAGTCCGAGCCGAAGCTCTTCCTGAGCTGGAGACGAGCCTCGCGGATCCAGTCGATCAGCACCTCAGTGACCTCACCCTTGCTGCGCAAGGGGAGGACTGTGGTGTAACGCGAGTAGTCGTCAACCACCAACAGGAAGTAGCGCTCGTAACCCTGCCCACGGACGGGGGCTGGGCCCCACACATCCATGTGAAGCGTCTGCAGGGGAGCCTCTGTCAGGGGGAAGTGGGAGGAGTGAGGAGTAGCCCGGAGGCGACCCTCGACACAGGGGACACAGGAAGGTCCTGGCCCGGAGGGGAGAGGAGGGAGAGACTGGGGAAGACCAGAGACAAGGACACGGGAAGCCATGCTCCGAAGACGGGGCAAGGAGGGGTGACCAAGACGGTGGTGCCACAGGAGAGTCTCGTGAGACAGGAGGCGACAAGTACAGGGGGCAGACTCAGGACCAGACCTGGACGCAGCAGCAAACACCTGACCCGACGCTGCTACCTGACTGGACGCGGGGACAGGAGGAGACTCAGTGGTCAGGGTGTAGAGGCTCGACCCCGGCCGACGCGAGAACGTGGCCAGGTGCCGGCCTGTGCGTGCGTCCGTGCAGTGGGTCACCCGCTGACTCGCAGGAGTGAACTGGTGAACCCCCGCATCCTGTAGGTCTGCACCACTCACCAAGTTCGTCGAGAACGAGGGGAGGTACAGGCCAGACAGGGTGCCCGAGGGGGCAGCCGGACACGGGAGGACAGTGGAGAAGTGAGCGAGGACAGGACCCCCAGAGGGGTCAGCCAGGGAGACTGCAACCGGCCGACCAAGCGGCGTGAGTGTGGTGCGGTCCCGAAAGAAGGAGCGAGAAGCCCCAGAGTCAAGTGTAAAGGTGAGGGAGGCCGAAGCCAACGCGGTACCTGAGAGCGCAGCCTCACCCGCACCTGAGGAAGCAGACTCACTAGCACCTAGAGCAGCAGCCTCACCAGTAGCTAGAGCAGCAGGTCCTATACCTGGGTCAGGCGGGACGCACAGGTGACCGGCACTGTCAGCACTAGTAGGCAATGCATACATGGCAGTGAGAATAGCATCATAGTCAAGAGCATATATATCCACCCTCTGCCTAAGTAACTCCACCCAGTCGGGAAGCTCAGCCTCGTCGCCAAACACGGTACGCCAGGCGTCGCTCAGACGGGCGAAGCAGCGGGACGGTGTATGACTACGTGTCCCACAAGGCTGACCAGTCCGAGTACCAGTGCGAATCACGTAAGAGCAGCGAACAGCAGTGAGAGACCCTCCACTCTGAGCGTACCACTCACGAAGCTGGCGAGGCGTGAGAGACACGCGAGAGGGTCGCGGGAGCTGCATCTGGCCGCCACCACGAGTAGAGGCAGCAGGAGTGGTAGTAGGAGTAAGAGCTCACCAGTGGTGGGAAGAGTAGGCTCGGCGACCCAGCGGCTCGGCAGTTCGGCGGCTCGGCGGCTCGGGCGACTCGGGCGGCTCGGCGGCAAGGCGGCTCAGCAGCAACTGCAGCTCAGCAGCTCGGTGAATCGGCGGCTTGGCGGCAGGGCGGCTCGGCAGCAACTGCAGCTCAGCAGCTCAGCGACCCGGCGGCTCGGCGGCAGGGCGGCTCGGCTGTGGGGCGGCTCGGCTGCTGCAGGTGAGCGGCTCGGCTGCTGCAGTGGGAGATGAAGGAGGAGGAGAAGCAGGGGAGGCCACAAACCTGCCACCCCTCTGCTGGCCTCTCCCGCAAGCGGCCCCCTCAGGTCGCCTCGACAGGCGACGGGAAAAGGGGGGGTGGGTGGTGGGGGGCCGGTAGGTGCAGCGGCGGGGCCAGCAGGTGCAGTTGCGGGGCCGGTAGAAGGGGACGGCAGGAGCCGTCAGGAGGGGACGGCGGGGCCGTCAAGAAGGGACGGCGGGGCCGTCACGAAGGGACGGCGGGGCCGTCAGGAGGTGACCGGGCCGCGACGGGGGCAGGCGGCGGGGCTGCGTAAGGGCCTGGGCGGGGCCGCGACAGAGCCGTCGGCGGGGCCGCGTGAAAGCCGGGGCGGGGCCGCGTAGAAGCCGGGGCGGGGCCGCGCGAGAGCAGGTGGCGGGGCCGCGTGAGAGCAGGCGGCGGAGCCGCGTAAGGGCCTGGGCGGGGCCGCGACAAAGCCGTCGGCGGGGCCGCGTGAAAGCCGGGGCGGGGCCGCGTAGAAGCCGGGGCGGGGCCGCGCGAGAGCAGGCGGCGGGGCCGCGAAGGAGCCGGGGCGGGGCCGCGGGAGAGCAGGCGGCGGAGCCGCGTAAGGGCCTGGGCGGGGCCGCGACAAAGCCGTCGGCGGGGCCGCGTGAAAGCCGGGGCGGGGCCGCGTAGAAGCCGGGGCGGGGCCGCGTGAGAGCAGGCGGCGGGGCCGCGACAGAGAGGGCGGCGGGGCCGCGTCAGTGAAGGCGGCGGGGCCGCAGGGGAAATGGCGACCCGAGGGGTCGCTAAAAAGAAGATCGCGCCTCGGGGGGCGCTTCGGTGGGCAAAAAAAAAACGGTCCGTAGAAGGACCCGCTCTATACCATGTGAGAATAAGCGAACAGGAATGAATGAACTAGCAGTGAAATGAGTACAAGTAGGAAACCCTAGAATTGTGTACCCCCTATAGGCTAACCCACTGTAGCCTACACAAGCATAACATATATAATGTTTGACACAGGATCTCGCTGTGTGCTCTCCGAACCTATCATTGTGCGAATTTTGTTCGCGATAAGTTGCGAGATAGCACAACCAATAGTAGCACTGCTTTGGTGTCGCGAACTCGCGGTTGCATGCGCGGGATGCCCCGCTTGTCAATGTTACCGACTTATCGCGTTCGTTTTGTACCGAGTCGCGCATGCATCAGCGCGTAAGAACGAGATGGGTTCTTTCGGTTGATTGGGGGCCGCGGAGCTTTCAGTGGCAGCGTGGTGGGTTTCATTGAGCCACGCAGGGACACGTTAAGTCCAAACATGGTGGGATTGTGGGTGGCCTGTGAAGATAGGTGCGTAATGGAAGGAGCCATAGCTAGGAACAACCTAGCTAGGCAAGAAAGAAGTTAGGCAAAAGAGGGGGTTGCACTAGCAAGCAAGGGGATACATATACGAAACCCTAAGGGGTTATACTCGCTATAGAGTACCCCACTGCAGGCTAGAGAACATAAGATAATATTCTGACATGGTCGTCTTCGCCCCACGCTCTTCGCGATGTCTCCGCGCCCCGTGCATCCCAATATGTGGGCGGGGTTTTTCCTGGGCCGCACCGTATGAACATTCCATGCGAGCGACATCTAAATTGACGGAACACCGGTGATTTATTTTGCGCGCCAAAATGGCATGCATGCAGTGCGTTTTGTTTCTTCAATGTTGAATGCCGTGCATGATCGGCTGTGCAAGGAGCCGTTCGGGAACGCACAGTAAAATTTAGCGTATTACCTTAAGTTTATTTTTATTTGTCACAGAATATATCACTAGTAGTAAAATTGTGATTCATTCTGTGATTATTCATAGTTTGAGCATAACATCTAAAGATAGTTGATTTTGAATGAGATCTTAAGCAGTAATATGTGTTTTGTTTATTATATATCACTACATTAAAATATTTGTCTTTTCACAAACTTGGTAATTGGAGGGTAATATTTCTATTCTAAAAAACAAAAATCAATATAGTAATTTTTTTCCTGATTTAAAATGTTTAATTTTAATCTGCCTATTGATTTCTGCTATAAAAATGTAAATTAAATTTTAAGTCTAGATTGATTTTATATGTTTTGTGGAATAAGCTTAATATAATAAGATTTAAAACATGAACAAAATCTAGAAGCTGTTTGAAAGGTGATGTGGCATGCCACAAGTACCTGGACACTGTCGCATGTTGTGGTTTGATCGTAAATCGTGACTGTTTGTGATTTCAGGCGAGTACACACGGCTGCCCGAATTTCGTAGGGGAAGGGCGGGAACATCGAGTTGGCGAGGCGTGGAGAAAGGCGGTCCATCCAATTATGAAAAACGCCCGCGTGTCTAGGGGGGAGCAATTCGGGTCGATTTAACTGAGATAAACGCAATTTCCGCCAATGCGCGCTATTTCGCCGATTTACAGCAATGTTGCAGAACTTCGAGTGTTGCGATACTGCACATCATATCTGCCGTCGATCTCAAAGATCCGTGATTATGGCTGCCGTAGGATCCTTCTCCCGAGTAAACAACCGCTTCAGGGGGGGTATGGGCAGGGTGGGAGGGAAGCACTTGTGGAGGCTGGGATGGGGGAGGCTTTGCGTGAACCTGGTTCTGATAGGCTCGTCGTAGAGAAAGGTGAACATGTGATTTCTTACAAGTCATGCTAGTCGCGTGTTACAAACGAAGCACTCTAAAAGCACACCCTTCCAGACGGGCGTGATGTGTGGTGGAAGTTTGAACCCTGAGTTGGTTGATTGGTCGTCAAATTTCATCCTCCACACGAAAGTGCGCAGGTGTAATTCTGGACACGTTTTCCGTCAAGCCACTGTAGGTGTAGTGAAAAAATTCGTCTCGTCCCGTCAATCCTCCTGACCTGACGTAGACATCACGCACGGGGGAGGCGTTCGTCAGCACCAAGCAGCGGCACAACAGCTGCAGCACATTTCTCAGCTTCCATCCGTTTGCCGTATGCGCTGCTTCGCGAGTAGAGTGGAGATGAAGCATCCTGGTTAGCAAGCGAGAACCAGTATCGTGATTTCGGTTCGGGGCCGTTCGCTTCTCTGTCATTCCCATTGCATGTGCTTTAGCATCCATCTTGACATCTCCGTCGCGTCATTCCCGAGGTCAGCCAGAGCCTCATTTCACTAACGGCCGGCATCTAGTTTTGAGGCGCCTCAAAACTAGATATCAGGGTCACGCATGTGCTTCAGCGGCTGGTCGACGCCAGGGGAGCCACGTGGCACATCAGGAACGTGTTTCGAGCTGGCGGACCCTTTCTTGTAGGGCCACGGTTCTGACCGGTTCTTTCCGGTGCCGAGCTTCACGTTTCATGTGCTTAGACGGCATGTCGTTTCGTGGAGCGTTCAAACGGTTCGTACAGAGTGAGTGCTGTTAGTGAATGGTGTGTGGGTGGGTTGGTGAAAGTTACGTGAAACAAGTAGATTTCTGAGACGTCTAAAAAATCTGCGTGTTTCGTACAGAGTGAGTGCTGCTAGTGAATGGTGTGTGGGTTGGTTGGTGAATGTGAGTGGGCGAGAGTGGTAGTGCGAGTGAATGATTGTGTGAGCGATGTGACTGTGTGTGAGTGAGTGTGAGGCGGAGTGGTGTGAGGGGGAGCGGTGTGAGAGGGAGTGGCGTGAGAGCGAGTGGTGCGAGCGTGAGCGGTGTGAGAATGAAAGGTGTGAGAGTGAATGGCGTGGGAGTGAGTGGTGTGAGAGTGAATGGCGTGGGAGTGAGTGGTGTGAGAGTGAGCGGTGTGATAAGCCGTCCGCAGGGGCGTATCCCCTTATGAAGCCCGTGGGGCCGGACGGAGCCCTGCCGCACTACACCAGTGGGGTGGGACGAGCTTGGCACAGCCCCTAGCACGTCTCACCCTGTCCCTCCTTGTATTCTCTGTCCTTCCCCATCCCCTACTGCAGAGAAGAAGCCATCCGCAGGGGCGTATCCGGTTATGAAACTCATGGGGCCAGACGGGGCCCTGCCGCACTACACCCGGGAAGAGCTTGACGTAGCTCCTACTACCACACCTCACCCTGTTATTCCCCGTCTTCGTCCTTCCTCGTCCCTCATGGCAGAGAAGAAGCCATCCGCAGGGGCGTACCCCGTTATGAAGCCCGTGGGGCCAGACAGACGGAGTCCTGCCTCACTACACACGGAAAGAGCTCGCCGCTGCCCCTACCTACGACTCATTCCGTCCCTCCTTGTATTCTCTGTGCTTTCCCATCCCCTACTGCAGAGAAGAAGCCATCCGCAGGGGCGTATCCGGTTATGAAGCCTGTGGGGCCGGACGGTGCCCTGCCTCACTACACCCGGGAAGAGCTTACCGCTGCCACGAGCAATTGGACGCAGAAAATCGGCGAAGGGGGCTTCGGGACTGTTTATAAAGGGTACCTGCGGAGTGACGGTAGTAGCCGCATTGGTGGCATTAGCAGCAGCAGCAGCAATGGGAAGAGTGGCAGCAGTGGGAATAGCGGGGGTGCTGGTGGTGGGGGAGAGGGTGGAGCAGGAGAGGGGGGAGAGGGAGGGGAAGTGCTGGTGCCAGTGGCTGTGAAGATGTGCACGAGTGGGATCAAGGACAGCGGCAGGGAGCAGCTCATGGTGAGTGCTGTGCGGTGCTGAGCGGTGGTAAGCGCTATGGTGCAGTGCGATGAGGTGATCATGGTTGTGGGAGCAGTGGGAGTGCTGGTGGTGGGGGAGAGGGGGGCGGACTGCTGTATCTGTGAAGATGTGCACAAGTGGGATCAAGGACAGCGGCAGGGAGCAGCTGATGGTGAGTTCAATGCGGTGCTGATGGGTGGTGAGCGCTGTGGTGCAGTGCGGTGAGGGGATCATGGCTGTGGGAGTAGTGAGAGCTCTGGTGGTTGAGGGGAGGGGGGCGGATCCCAGTGGCTGTGAAGATGTGCACGAGTGGGATCAAGGACAGCGGCAGGGAGCAGCTCATGGTGGGTGGGTGCTGTGCGGTGATAGTGAGGTGGTGCAGCATCCGTATATCCTCAGGTCAGGCTGCTGGAAGTGGCTACTCAAGCCTGCTTCAGGAGGTGACTCAACCCCCCATCGCATCCCATCCCACCCCTTCTGTCGGAAATGCTCTGTATGGCCCCTTTCTCCTGACTCCCACCGACCACGCCTGTAGACCCCTGAGTCTCCCTTCCCCCTTCCACTTGTCTCTTGCTCTTGCTCTGGGGTACTACCGACGCCCTAACTGCTGTATACTGTGTGCCGTGTGGCAGCGTTCCATCATGACATCTCACTTGCCCCCTCTGGAACAGACTAGGGCTCCTGCTGGTTCTGATCCAGACCACTCAAACTCCTACATCGCGCCCTTGCTGTGTTCGTGGTGTGGTCCTGGACCCTCCTGCCCTGCTGATTCTCCAGCACCACCACTCCAGACTCTCGGACTTCTACCACTCTCCAGCGTTCCTCGCTGAGGCCACGGTCTAACGTCTGCTGCCGCGCAGTCCTGCGATACACTTCCTGCCCTTCCTGCAGCTGCCCTCCACTTGCTGGCCTCTGCCCCCCGAGCCTCTGCTGGTACCGATGCGCGTCTCGCAGCTGAGCCACATGAAGATTCTCTAACGCTGAAGGCAGAAGCGCTCGTAGGTAATCCCCCTTGGCCTTGGCCAGTGCTGCCCACAACTCTGGGGTTCCTGCTGTCACCACATCAGTCAACACTTTGGGCGCCCCTACCGGCAGGATCGGCTCTCTGCCATAGAGCAGATAGTAAGGGGACACGTCTCGCAGCGCCGCCTGCTTGCTGAACTGGTACCCCGCAGCAACCCAGTGCAGATCCTCATCCCAGCTGCGCTTGTGTGCCTCTCCATATGCCCGTAGCCCTCGCTTGAGTGTCTGCACCATCCGCTCTGTGAGGCCATCAGCTTGTGGATGATACCGGGAGGTCCTTCTGTGCGTGATCCCGATAACTGCCAGCGCCTTGTCAAACTCCCCCCGAAACTCCGTGCCCTGATCCGTGAGCACTTCACCACATGCCCCCATCCTGGTGAGCACTTGCTCCGTGAAGGCCTCCGTGACGAGTGCCGCGCTCTTACTGCTAAGAGCGCGCACCTCCACCCACTTACTGACATGCTCTATCATGACCAAAATGTACCGCTTGCCTCGCCGGCTGAGGGGCAATTCCCCCGCCAAATCCAAGGACCATCTGTAGCCCAACCCGCGGATGGGGAGCGACTGTAGCTCTTGCTGGCTCTTCTCCAACTGGGCCTTATTGCGGTCGCAAGCCTCACATTGCGCCACCCGTTCCTTAATCTGTCGCGCCATGCCTGCCCACCACCAGCCCGTGTTGACCAGCTGGGTTGTTCTGACGTGCCCAAAGTGCCCCAACTGTCGGTGCACCCTGTCAATGATGCCTTCTCGATCCGCTGGCGCAGGCACCAGCTTCCACCCCTCTCTGGTCCTCAGCTGTACCTGCCCCGCATACCACCTGTAGTGCTGTCCCCTTGCCCGTGCTCTCTCCGAGGCAGGCTCTTCTGCCTCCGTCTCTCCCCGCAGCCACCTGAGAGTTTCTTCGTCCTGCCATATGTCGGCCGCTCCGCGCTGCTCCTGACGCTGCTCCCCCTGCCTTTCTGCTTCTCTTGCCAGAGCCACGAGCCCGGCCACTGGCTCTGCCGCCGGCGGGTTACGCGATAGCCCATCCACGTGCTGAAGCGTCCGGCCTGGCCTGTGCTTCACCACGAAATCGAATTCCTGCAACCGCATGGCCCACCGCGCGTTGCGGCCTGTCAGCGTATGATTAGTCATTAGCCACAGCAGCGGCTGGTGGTCCGTCACCAGTGTGAACTCGCGCCCTTGCAGGTACACTCGGAAATGCGTCACCGCCCAAACCGCCGCCAACCCTTCTCCCTCGTAGGAGCTGTAGTTTGCCTCCGCTGCGTTGCAGCTGCGACTCGCAAAGGCCACCACCCTCTCCCCCTGCTCAGTCTGTTGGCTGAGCACGGCTCCCATGCCTGCGCTGCTCCAGTCAGTGTACAGCACGAACCTGGCCTCTGGCATCGGCAGCAGAAGCACCGGTCCCGACTTCACGGCTTCCAGCAGGTCCCGTAGTGCCCCCTGCTCGGCCTCTCCCCACTTCCAGGCTACGTCCTCCCGCAGCAGCCTATTCAACAGAGCCGCCCGCCTACTAAAGTTCGGCACGAACTTACGGTAGTAATTCAAGAAGCCCAGAATTGCCCTCAGCGCGAAGCGACCACTCTGGGTCGCCAGGTTGTCCAGCACTGCGACCTTCGCTTGCTGAATGGTCATCTGGCCTCCACCCACTTCAAAGCCCAGATACCGCACCGTATTCGTGCCGAAACGGCACTTCTTGGGGTGGCATGTGAGTCCGGCTCCCCTGATGGCTTCCAAGACCTGCTGCACATCCTTCACGTGCTGCTCGGGCGTTGAGCTGAACACAACTACGTCGTCTATGTAGCAGGCCGCGCAGTGCTGCAACGCGCGCAGCACCCGGTCCATTGCTTTCTGGAACACTGCCGACGCGTTCTTAGTCCGAAAGGCATGAACAACCATTCGTACAGTCCGTCCGGCCCATGAAAAGCTGTCTTCCTCACATCCGCCTCCTTGATTCGTATCTGATTAAATCCCTGGCAAAGATCCAGCGTGCTGAAGATCGCTGCCCCCTGCAACTTGTCGAATATCTCCTCTGGCGTAGGCATGTGATAGCGATTCGCCACCGTCAGCTTATTGAGGTCTCTGTAATCTCCGCACATGCGTCGCGACAGCACTTCTCCTGTAAGTTCTTTCCTCGCGGCCACCACGGTGGCAGCCGCGTACTCCGACTCAAAGGGCCTGATGAGTCCTGCCTCCAGCAATTCCCGACACTTCTCTCTGCACAGATCAAGATCTCCTGGGCTCATGCGGCGTTTGCGCTGGTACACCGGCACCTCCTCCGTCAGCCGAATCTCCATCTCTCCCCCGTTGTATTTGCCGAGCTCCTGCAGTGTGAAGGCAAATGCCTGTCGGAGCCTCCTCACCACGCTCCACATCTGCTCCCGCAGGTCTCCCTTCAACCCTTCTCCTACTTCCCATGCTCCATCCTCTTCTGCCGCTGGTCGGACTGCCGCTGTGCTTCCCCCTCCTTCGGTCTCGGCTTCCGGTTCCGACCCCGCCCCTGGCTCCTGCTGCCCCCTGCTCGTGTCTGCCACCCCAGCCCCGTTTGGTGACATCGGCTCGCCGGCTGCCACTGCTTCTCTTCTTGCCGGCAAAACTTCCAGCGCCATTAGAGCCCAACCTCGCTCTCTCTGCTGCTGCCTTTCCACCTGCAGGTCCAAGAGCCGCTGTTCCGCCCTCTGCTGGCTGGCGCGCACCTCTTCTACGCTCGCATCCCCTGGCCCTCCCACTTCCACTTCCATCTCCAGCTGCTTGGAGGCCAGGTGCATCTGTATCACGTGCATCAGCCAATGCACCGCCTCCACGTCCATTGCTCGCCCGAGCGCTTCCCTCCGCTTGGCTTCTTCCACTCCTGGTGCTGCCGTGGCGTCAGGGACGAACCCCATCGCCAGCTCTCGCTCCCTGGCCGAGGGCTCTTCCCACTGATCCTTCAGCCGGTCATACACCATGCCTGGGCCCGGCAACCCTTCGCTCCACACGAAGCCATGGGCCTGGTGGTGCGCCATCAGGGTGGGCCAGGCTTCTCTCGGCAGCCCGGGCTCATTGCACTGGAACTGACTTGGGTGATCGGGCTTTGTCACCGGCGCTGGCTCCCGATGCGTCTCCAGGATGTCCTCCACGGGGCGTGGCGAGGGCCTCTCGGTCTGTATGAGCTCCCATCTGAGCCTCCCTTCTGACACCCCATTCTGCCAATACCGTCTAACCCTGTGCGCGTAAGACCCTTGCTGTACCGCATCCCATGCCACTCCCGGTCCCAGCGCTCCCGCCACCACTTCTAGCATTCGACGCACCGGCTCCCTACAGTCAGTCGAAAAGTCAGGGTTTTCCAGGATGTACAAGTACTCCCCGTGCTGCTGGTATATCAGCTTCATGACCCGCAGTAACTCCGCGAAGAGCGTGGACCGTGGGTCATCCAATCCTTTGCCCTTCCCAGCCCTCGACACTCCCTGACACTCCCAACCTGCCACCAGCAGATCCACTCGTCCCCACTTTCGCACGTCCTCTGCCGCCACCTCCCTAATATCGTAGAGTGATTCTTCTTCCGCCTCTGCTTCTACCCCCAACATCAGCTGAGCCGGGTAGATCCCTCTTAGCTTCCTTGCGTGGTTGAAGGCCATCCTGCGCACCACAGGATCTATCTCCACTAGTATCCACTTCTGTACTCTGCATCCCGCCTTTAGTGCTGCAGCCAGCCCCGTTCCGATTCCTCGGAACAGCTCGACAATGGTAATTGGTTCCTGCAGGCGCGTCAGATCTGTCAGCCTTGGGGGCAGCGCCAAGGACCGCTCGGTCCTTTCTTCTTCCGCTTTGCGCGTCTCCTGCTCCAGCACGTATTGCTTCCAGGACCAATCTTCGATCTGCTCTTCCACTTGCGCCATACGCACTCGAAAGGCTTCCCTCGGCTCGCGTCTCACGAAGTGCACAGGCAGGGTGCCTACGGGCCCATCATTCCTCCAGTACTGAGTCCGGTAGAGGACCTTCTCCTGCCAGGTGCAGATGGTGGCTCCCACACGATACAACAGCTCCATGCCTATCAGCAAATCAAAATCCCCTGACGGCGATATGCCGCACCGCATCCGGATTCGACATTCGTCCTTGGTGCCCGGCTGCAGGATCACTTCCACTGGCATGCGGGTGCAGGGCATCCACTTCGGCTCTCCTCCTTCTGCCGTCATCACCAGGATTCCCCGTGTAATCAGCCGGTTCGGCAGGTCTAGTTCCAGCCTCTGAGCCAAGCCTTTCCCCAGGAGGATATGATGCGCTCCCGTGTCGATGATCGCTTGCGCCACCGTCACCCCTCCCACCGTGATTGCCCCCTTTTCGATTGTCAGCACCGATGGCTGACACACCATGCGCTCTTTGGGATGTCTTTCTGATGTCATTTCTTGCTCTGGTTCGGCCGCGTACCCACGGAACCGCCTGACCCTCGGGGCGGGCAGCTCTCTCCTTTCCCCTTGATCACTCCTGAGCACTATCTCTTCTCGCTGCCGTGGCGCCCGCACCACGAGCACAAACTCTGCTTCGCTACTCCCCTCCTCCTCCTCTCTCGCCAACATGGCGGTCTCCTTGTGAGCCGAACCTTCCAGCTCCCTGATCCGTGCTTGCAGCACCAGCAGCTGCGCCTCCAAGTCCTTCTCGTTTCTGGGGCCCGCCGATCCTGGTCTCCGACTGTAGCAATCAGATGTCCGATGTCCTCGCCTGCCGCAGTTCTCACAGGTGGGGACTTCTGGACACTCCCGTCGCATGTGCCCTTCCTTCTGGCAGTGATCACACCTTGGCGGCCTGCTGCAATCCCGCTGTAGATGCCCCTCCAGCCCGCACCGATGACACCTGCGCGTCTCCGCCTCCCGTGCGGCACGTCTACTGGAGGCTTCTCCGGTTGCCACGGCCGCCCAAGCTGACCCCCGTCGTCCCTCGGCCTGCATACCGCCTCTCTCCATCTCATATAGGCGGAGTCCCAGCTCGTATTTCTTCGCCAGCTCATACGCGTACTCCAGCGTCGCCGATGGTCCCCTCTCAAACACCCTTCCTCGTACATCCCCGGCCACCCGCTCGTCCAGGCAGTTGAGGAATTTGGAGACCAGCCTCCACTCATCCCTGCACTCCATGTCCGCCGCCAGCTCGCGCAGTCTGCCGTACGTTGCTAGCAGAGATTCTCCCGTCTTCCTTTTGAACGACGCGAACTCCCTCATGCGCTCCGGCGTCTGTACTGGGAAGTGGCGCTTCAGCGTGTCGAAAAACTGTGCCACTACGTCTCAGGTCACTCCGCTGGCTTGTGCCGGCTCACTCAGCATGCGCTCTAGCTCCATGCCATACGCGGTCTCCGCTTCTCCTGTCACGGTGTTCGAGAGTCCCCGGAAGAAGTCTTCTGGCTCCAGGCCGTCCTTCATCCAGCGATACTGCGCGTTGCGGATCTGCATCATGTAATTCTTCAGACTGCTGCCCACGCCTGGCGTGCCTGCGAAGCGCTCGGGCACCTCTATCTTGGGCAGCGCAGCGTACTTCACGTTGCCCGGGCGTGCTACCTCCGTCACTTGATGCTCTGACAAGGAGAGACGCCTCAAGCGCCCGAGCAGCTCGCCGTCGGTACCGCCCTCTCCTTGCGCGTTAATCGCGCGCGACGGCGACCCTCCCGTGGTGGCTTCCACCCGCGGTCTCCCCGTCGAGCTCTCTCTCGCGTCCCGACCCTCGCTCGGCAGGTCACCCATGCTGTGCCTCCGATGCGGTGCCGTGTAGGCCTCCCTGCGGGCGCCGTCTTCCGTCTCGCCCGCCTGCGTCCTTTTCTCGCTCCCCGTGACTTCTCCTGCACGCCATCCTGGCGTCGCCATCGTCGCCAATTCTGGCGGCCGCTCGTAACGCTTCCCAGAGCGTGTCTGCATGCGCTGTCCAAGGCGCTTTACTCCGGAGATTTCCTTCGTTGTATGTCAGAAAATCTCCTTGCCACTACCGGCTGACAAGCTGGTTCCCTAGCGTGCTCATGACTGCCTGCGAGTGGGTTAACAGGATTACATTGGAGCAAACGGGAAACATACAACGAAGCAGCCTACACTAGGGTATCAGCTCTGCTATGTACAAGCCAACTTTGCTGCCCTAGCCTAGCGCCTCTATCATGCACACATCACATGGGCGAGGCTCGGGGTGCCGAGCCATATTTCCAAACCGCAGGCGCTCTGAATCTGCATGGGCTCCAGCGCACGCCCTTCGCCAGCTGCAAGCTTGGCGTGCATGTTCAACTGCAGCTTTTGCCACCTGTCGGCTGTGCTGCACTTATTCGCGTCAACAGCTCTCGCCCTGCACCGGACACAAACGAAACATGCACCACCCCGACTCATACACCCACCATTCTCATGCAAACTTTCTTGAGCGTTATTTACAATTATGTACACCCACCCTTCTTCCCTCCGCACTTGTAGATTCAGCTTCTGCCACATCCTCCCACTCTCCCTGCTGCCAACTCTTGGCGCTGTCTCGGTTCCTATGCGGCCCTCCTGGCTACATAAACCGCGACACTTCCCAATCCCATCCCATCCCATCCCTTCCCATCACCCTTTACTGCAGACGGAGGTGGTGGTAATGACGGCGGTGCAGCATCCGTACATCCTCAGGCTGCTGGAAGTGGCTACTCAAGCCTGCTTCACAGGGTGACTCAAGCTTCACCCCACCCCACCCGACCCCACCCAACCCACCCCTTTCCACCCCTTCCCATCCCTCAGACAGAGGTGATGGTGATGACAGCAGTGCAGCATCCGTACATCCTCAGGCTGCTGGGGGTGGCGATTCATTGCCCAGTCCCGTGCTGTCCCCCTCTACCTCATCCTCCCACACACCCCCATCCCGCAGACGGAGGTGATGGTGATGACGGCAGTGCAGCATCCGTACATCCTCAGGCTGCTGGGGGTGGCGACGCTGGGAGAGACTCTCGCCATGGTGTCAGAATTCGTGCCCCACGGGGATGTTGACTTGCTGCTGGAGCGAGGTGAGTGTGATGAGGGGTGTGAGGGGTGTGAGTCTGCTTTTGAGTCGACTCAAAAGCAGACTCGTTACACGCGGTTTCTACATTGAAAAGTTATTTGTTGCATGGCAGGTTGGGAAGAGTGTACAGAGAACACTTGTTCGAGCGAGACTTCCAAGGACTCGCCCCCGAATTTCTCTTGAAGCAGACGTGGACACTTCGGGCTCACCCGAGTGAAAACGATTGGCCAGTTTTCAGATTGTCGGGCCAAGGGTAGTTGGAGACTTTGCCTCGGCTATTTTCTAGGGCTATCCTCCGTTTGTTATATAGGGGTTAGCTTTGCTTGCTACTGAATAGGAGTTCGGCACTGATGAAGGTCTGATCGGGTCTTTCCCCCGTGATAGGCCGAAACATGTTTGTCTTTGTCTTGTTTTAATCAAGAGACGAGTTCCTGCGCAAGCCTTTTCTTTAGCCGAGCATTCAGTTTAGTGGACGGATTTTTACAAGGCTTTGATCCTACTGCTATAAGGATCTCTATCTTGCTGCTCTTCCCCGATGAGTGAGGACCCGTGGGACCTCACATTCGTGACTTGCTGCTGGAGCGAGGTGAGTGTGATGAGGGGTGTGAGGGGTGTGAGGGAGTGTTTATAGCACCATGCAAGTAGACATGGCTATTCTGGGAAAAAGAGACGCTCGCCATGGTGTCTGAGTTTGTGCTGCACGGAGATGTCGACCTGCTGCTGGAGAGAGGTGAGTGTATCACGAGGGTTGGGGAAGGCAAGAGGTGATTGAAGCACAGAGCAGAGTAGAGCCTCTCTCCCTCTCTCTGCGACCACAGGCGTGGCGTCTGACTGACTCACAACCCTTCCTCCGTCCCTCGCCCCCTCTGTGTCCTCCCTTTCCCCCTACCTGCAGTGCGCTACAGGGCGGACTAAGCTGACTAAGGAGTAAGGATGCTGGTGAGGTTGATGCTTGACTGAAACCTCTTCCCTTCTCCCCTCTCCTTTCCTCTCCCCAAAACATGAGTCAAGCAGACTCTCTCCCTTCCCCCAGGTCCCTCAAGGGCGGAGCAGAGAAGGCATGTCTCTGACTCAGGACTCTCCCGGCCCTCCCTCTCTCCCCCCCCTCACCCTGCAGTGCGCAACAGGGAGGACTCGTTTGACTGGACGGCCAGGATGGTGCTGGCGGAGCAGGTGGGGGAGGTGGGACAGCTGAACTCAAGCCGGACCACTCCCGGTGCTCCGTATCCCATGTGTCTCCCTTTTCCCTCACCCTGCAGTGCGCAACGGGGAGGACTCGTTTGACTGGACGGCCAGGATGGTGCTGGCGGAGCAGGTGGGGGAGGTGGGACAGCTGAACTCAAGCCGGACCACTCCCGATGCTCCGTATCCCATGTGTCTCCCTTTTCCCTCACCCTGCAGTGAATGGGGAGGACTCGTTTGACTGGACGGCCAGGATGGTGCTGGCGGAGCAGGTGGGGGAGGTGGGACAGCTGAACTCAAGCCGGACCACTCCCGATGCTCCGTATCCCATGTGTCTCCCTTTTCCCTCACCCTGCAGTGCGCAACAGGGAGGACTCGTTTGACTGGACGGCCAGGATGGTGCTGGCGGAGCAAGTGGGGGAGGCGCTGGTGTTCATCCACAGCAAGGGGTACATCCATCGGGACTTTAAATCCGCAAATGTGCTGCTGGGAGAGGTGGGTGTAGGGTGCTGTGCGGTGAAGTGTGGTGGTGTGTGGTGGAAGGGGATTGAGGGATAGGGGGTCTTGGAGCAGGTGGGAGAGGCGCTGGTGTTCATTCACAGCAAGGGGTACATTCATTGCGACTTCAAGGCTGCAAATGTTCTGCTGGCAGAGGTAGGTGTGGCAAGGGAGGGCTGAAATGGGCATGCTCATGGATCTGTAGAAGGACTGTGGGATGAGTACTGGTCAATCAGGCGTGTTGGGGCACCTTAGCTGCCTTCTGAGGCGCCTCAAAAGACATGGTCATGGACCTGTAGTGGGACGAGTACTGATCGATCAATCAGGCGTTTTTGGGGCACCTTAGTGTGCTTGGGGCACCTTAGCGTGCTTGGGGCACCTTAGCGTGCTTGGGGCACCTTAGCGTGCTTGGGTCCATCCATCCTCAACCCCTTCCTTCCTGCCACTTCATCCCTGCCACTTCATCCCTGCCCCCCTGCTGCCCTCTTTCCCCGCGCCAGGGCATGGTGCCCAAGGTGGCGGACTTTGGAATGGCGCGGCTGGTAGAGGACTGGAAGACACATGTCACGACGCGAGTGGGCGGCTCTCAGGGCTACATCGACCCCAATTACTTCTCCACTGGTGAGTGCTGGTGCTGCCACTCACGTCTGAGATTTGAAGCACTTGAGAAGGGCTTTTGAGTGCGGCACGAGGGCTTTTGTGGCACCTCACAAGCCCTCACAAGGCCTCTCAGGGCTACATCGACCCCAATTACTTCTCCACTGGTGAGTGCTGCCATTCGGGGTCAAGTTTTAGAAGCACTTGGTAAGGGCTTATGAGGCACCTCGCATCAAAAGGCCTCTCAGACCCCAATCACTTCTCCACTGGTGAGTGCTGCCACTCTTGTCTGAGTTTTGAAGCTCCACTGAGTTTTCAGTGCGCCAAGGGGGCTTGTCCGTGCGCCAAGAGGGCTTTTCAGTGCGCCAAGAGGGCTTTTGAGGTGCGTCACAAGGCCTCTCATGGGTACATACACTGACCCGAGCCACTTCTCCACAAGTGAGTGCTACCCCTCTTGTTCAAAGGATCACTGCTGTTTACTCCACTCCACCGACTTTAAAAATGTTTTCTTCCTTCCCCTCACCCTCCCTACTCACCACCCCGACCTCAACCCCAGGGTTTCTCACCAACCATTGTGACACGTATGCGTTCGGCATCTTCCTTCTAGAGCTCATGTCAGGCGAATGTGCGGAGGAGAACGGCTTCAAGGCGATCAGAGTGGCAGCAGAGGAGCGCCTAATACCGCTAGAGAAGCTTAAGAGGGTGGTGATGGATAAAACCATTGCCGGGCAATGGTCCGAGGAGCATGTAAGGTTGGTGCTTAAAATTTTCCGGTTGGCTGTGTGCACCGATTGGGCGAACCGGCCAAAAATGGACCAATTGGTTGGGAAGCTTAAGAAAGCGAGGGAAAGTGCAGCCGGATTAGAAAAAAGTCAACATTAGCCTGTCAGACGTTTGTGCCATGAACTTGTTGGATGATTGTTGATTTTTCCTTTTTAGATGAGGCTATACATGATATTGAGTTACAATGTTGTCCTAATAACAAGCAATCTAAGGAGCAGAGCCACCGTGTCGCCCGTGGAACACCTCTTAGCGGGAAAAGCCCCAGCTAGCAATTCTGGCCATGCACGTTCACAATTTGGAGTGCTGTACATTGCTGTAATATCCTGATATTACTGTATGGACAGCCGTCTCATCCGCCCAGCAAATCAAGTCCTGGCTACCCAAAACCCGTTATTTTAATGGTCCGGAACACTCAAACTTTGTGACTTGCGGAATGAGATATCGATGCGCCAAAAGCGAGGTCAGACTGGTGAATTTTCCTGATTATTCGGTATTTCGAGAATTTTCCGTGGAGACTCGATGCATCAGGGTTCCTAGAAACGAAATCCATGACAGGGCGTGTACACCATCCGAGCGTGATCACTATTTTTTTGGCAGCCACCGTTTGGAACCGTAGGCTAACCTAATCTGATACGAAGTACCGTGTACAACCTCTCGAAACCGAGCTCTTTCCCCCATCCTGACTGCACCACACATCTATCAGTGACCAGACCACTGACCGCAATCCCAGTCCAATCGCGGCTGGAGTTTTGAGAGAGCCACAAAATCCAGTTCATTAGAGTGACGATTTTAACCTCAGTACAATTGAGTACTCTGTTCCCTCTCTTAGTAGCTTCCCGTGCTGGCGCCTACCCGGCTCGTCTCGCGCGGCGAGTGCAGAAGCTGCGTTGGAGTTACAATCTGCATTACGGTTTCTGAAACGATTTGAGGTCACATTTCTGAAACCCTGCATTCCTTAAAGCTCAGCTCCAAGTGCATTACAGAAAAAATATCGGGGCAATTCTGGTTCAAGGTTTTGCTTTTAATTTTATAAAGCGACTTAAATTCAGCTCGGGTCGCGGTGGAGCGGTTGGCGCCATGAAGTCTTTCGGCAAGATGATGAAGAACCTCAGCAGCGGCATGAAAAGTGCGACCACCCGTTATCATTCCCTATAATCATGCTATACTTTTCAACCCATTTCATGTATACATTATTTTGTAAAAAATGCTTATTCTTTATCCCTTTTATGTATACATATTCATTGTCATTGTAAGGCTGCGTTGCTAATACTGAAGTTGATCGACATGATAAGTGAATACAGCATGATATTGGAACGCCAAGCGCCATGCATCATCTCATCTCTCGCCTTTCTCCTCTTGCTCTACCTTCCGCCGGTCCACATTTCACCCCACTGCTCTGCTCCCTGTCGCTCCCCGACTGCCCTCGTCCGCTCCCCCTCCCCTCCCCCTTCCCCTCCGCCCACTTACCGCGCCACGCGCGCAGAGAAGGGCTCCTCTGTCCAACCGGACTTAATTCCCCTGTGGAGGGGACGACACCTAATCACACTCTCCCCCGCCCCCACTTCTTGTGGCCCTCACTTCCCCTTGCCCTCACTTCCCCCCGCCCCCACTTCTCCCCTCCCCCCCCCCCCCCCCTCCTCCCTCTTCCCCCGCCCCCACTTCCCCTCCGCGCAGAGGAAAAGCCCGCGGCGCCCCACCCGGACTTAAAGCCCCTGGGGGGGGACGGCGCGCCCCCCATGTACACAAAAGCGGAGCTCAGCGCCGCTACCAACAACTTCAAGCACAAGCTCGGTGAAGGGGGGTTCGGAGCGGTGTACAAGGGGTACCTCAAGGTGGAGAGCGGTGCGGAGGCTGCAGAGTCGCTGGGCGTGGACCTGAGCGCGGTTTCTGATGGGGAGATCCCTGTGGCGGTCAAAATGTGCGCTGCAAAGGTTCTGAGCGCAAGGGAACAGCTCATGGTACGTAAGGGCTGCTGAGAGTGGGGGAAGGGGGGATCCCTGTGGTTGTTAAGATGTGCGCTGCAAAGGTTCTGAGCGCAAGGGAACAGCTCATGGTGGGAGATTCTGGGCACCCCATGGCTCTCTTACCCTTGGTGCCATGCCATGGCGGGTGGGTGGGCTGCTGGGCTGGGAGAGTGGGGTGGAGGGGCGAGGGGGGGAGATCCCTGTGGTGACTAAGATGTGCGCTGCTAAGGTTCTGAGCGCAAGGGAACAACTCATGGTGGGTGGTTCGGGTGCTGGGAGTGTTGATGGTGATGGGGAAACTGCGGCAGTCTCAACATCCTGTGCCTGCTGGGGCAGGCCTCCTCCCATATGGTGTTGCACCCTCCACCTAGCAGCGTGCTCCTTGCTGCACCTTGCATTCAATCCCTCCCTCCTCGCCTTTCTACCATCCAGACGGAGATGATGGTGATGGGAAAGCTGCGCTGCGGGCAACCCAACATCCTGCACCTGCTTGCATGCAGGCGAAGCTGTTGCACCTCGAACCTTGAAGTTTGCAAAGAAACCCTAAATTACTCCCCTTCCCACGTCCACCACCCTTCCCACCAACCAGACGGAGATGATGGTGATGGGGAAGCTGCGGCACCCCAACACCCTGCGCCTTATTTGCAGTATCTGATCCTGGTGCACCTTGTTGATTTTTGAGTCGACTCAAAAATCAACGCGTTGCAGTATCTGATCCTGCTGCACCTTGTTGATTTTTGAGTCGACTCAAAAATAAACTCTTTGCAGTATCTGATCCTGGTGCACCTTGTTGATTTTTGAATCGACTCAAAATTCAACTCTTTGCAGTATGTGATCCTGGTGCACCTTGTTGATTTTTGAATCGACTCAAAAATCAACTCGTTGCAGTATCTGATCCTGGTGCACCTTGTTGATTTTTGAGTCGACTCAAAAATCATCTCGTTGCAGTATCTGATCCTGGTGCACCTTGTTGATTTTTGAGTCGACTCAAAAATCAACTCGTTGCAGTATCTGATCCTGGTGCACCTTGTTGATTTTTTAATCGACTCAAAAATCAACTCGTTGCAGTATCTGATCCTGGTGCAACCCCCATCCTTCCCCAACCCGACGGAGATGATGGTGATGGAGAGGCTGCGGCACCCCACCATCCTGCGCTTGCTGCGGGCAGGTCTCCCCTCATGGTGTTGCACCTTCCACCGTACTACAACTGTGAACTCGCACCTTGCAACGGGCACAGTGTGCATTGCCTGCTCCCCTTCTTCCCCCTTCCCCCCCCCGTGCGCTGCAGGGAATGTTTCATGTTCTTGCACCTCATAGTTTTCAGGCAGCACCACGCACTGTTCCCCGCCTTCCCCCACCCCCCCATCCTTCCCCCACCCCCCCATCCTTCCCCCATCCCCCCATCCTTCCCCCACCCCCCCATCCTTCCCCCATCCTCCCCCCATCCTTCCCCATCCAGACGGAGATGATGGTGATGGGCACGCTGCGGCACCGCAACATCCTGCGCAAGCTGGGGAAGGTGTCAATCGCTGATGATGCACCTTGTATCCTGCTCCCCTTCCACCCCATCCGCGCCTCCCACCCACCCCCCAATTCAGACAGAGATGATGGTGATGGGGAAGCTGCGGCACCCCAACATCCTGCGGCTGCTGGGCGCGTGCATATCAGACGACAGCATGGCCATGATCTATGAATTCATCCCCTGTGGGGACGTGCACGAGCTGCTGGAGGATGGTACGTGTGTCTGTATGGTGCTGACAATTCTGTGCTGTGCGGGGCTGTGTGGTTGTGGGTCTACGGTGTGTGGAGCCTCAGAGGCTGCTGGGCGCGTGCATATCAGACGACCAGATGGCCATGATCCACGAGTTCATCCCCTGTGGAGACGTGCACGAGCTGCTGGAGGATGGTGGGTGCACGGAAGGAGGTGAGAGGGTGGAGGGAGGGTGAGTGTACGTGGCTGTGCCGTGTGTGCTTGTGGGTGGGTGGTTTGAAGAGCCTCAGAGGGGCTGGCTGGGGGCCGCAGGTGCATATCAGATCAGACGACAGCAGGGCCATGATCCACGAGTTCATCCCCTGTGGAGACGTGCACGAGCTGCTGGAGGACGGTACGTGTTCAGGGCTGGGTGCTTTGGCCTGTGCATGTGTGCATATGGGGCTGTGTGCATATGGGGCTGTGTGCATATGGGATGACAGCATGGCCATGATCACGAAATCCCCTGTGAGTGAGGAGAGTGGGGACGTGCACGAGCTGCTGGAGAGGTAGGTGAGAGGCTGCAGGAAGGGAGCCTCCTCGACGTGTCTCCGTGTACTCATTTCCCTTCCTTGTCCCCCTCTTCCTCCCCCACTCATTCCCCCCCAGCCCCCTAGCAGCGCGAGCGAGCAAGGAGGAGTTGAAGTACGAGGACCGAACCGAATGAAGGTGGCCATGGGGTGTGCCGATGCTCTCTCCTTCATCCACGGGCAATCACCCATCGGCCCCACATACCTTCCCCCTCGTTTTCTCCCCCCGCTTCTCACATACGCTCCCTGCTTCCTCTCCCCTTCCCTTTGCAGTGCGAGCGGGCAAGGAGGAGTTTAAGTATGAGGACCGGATGAAGGTGGCCATGGGGTGTGTGTGCGGAGGCTCCAGTATTCACCCACGGCACATTCCCTCCCCCCCTCTCCCGCATTACCCTGTTTGACAGCACGCGCGGGCAAGGAGGAGTTGAAGTTTGAGGACCGAATGAAGGTGGCCATGGGGTGTGCGGAGGCTCCCTCATCCTTACATGAGCAATCTCGCTTTTCCCCTTCTCACCGCATTTTACCACCCACCCACCTCCCCTAATCTTCCCCCTCTTGCAGCACGAGCGGGCAAGGAGGAGTTTAAGTACGAGGACCGGATGAAAGTGGCCATGGGGTGTGCTGAAGCCTTGGCGTTCATTCACGGGCAGGAGTACGTTCACCGCGACTTCAAGGCTCCCAACGTGCTGCTGGCCGAGGTGAGCAGCACCATACTGCACCGCAGGGCACCGCAGAGCAACGCAAAGCAAGTAGAGCAGAGCTTTGGCATTCATTCATGGGCAGGAGTACGTTCACCGCGACTTCAAGGCTCCCAACGTGCTGCTGGCCGAGGTGAGCAGCACCATACTGCACCGCAGGGCACCGCAGAGCAACGCAAAGCAAGTAGAGCAGAGCCTTGGCGTTCATTCACGGGCAGGAGTACGTTCACTGCGACTTCAAGGCTCCCAACGTGCTGCTGGCCGAGGTGAGCAGCACCATACTGCACCGCAGGGCACCGCAGAGCAACGCAAAGCAAGTAGAGCAGAGCCTTGGCGTTCATTCACGGGCAGGAGTACGTTCACCGCGACTTCAAGGCTCCCAACGTGCTGCTGGCCGAGGTGAGCAGCACCATACTGCACCGCAGGGCACCGCAGAGCAACGCAAAGCAAGTAGAGCAGAGCTTTGGCATTCATTCATGGGCAGGAGTACGTTCACCGCGACTTCAAGGCTCCCAACGTGCTGCTGGCCGAGGTGAGCAGCACCACCGTAGAGCATCGTGGAGCACCGCAGGTCCGTGTTAATACACACGCAGGAGTGCGTTCACCACGGCATTAAGGCTCCCAACGTTTTTTAGTCGACTCAAAAGCAGGAGTACGTGTGTGATAAGTCAAGTTTTGAGTCTACTCAAAAGCAGGAGTACGTGCACCGCGACTTCAAGGCTCCCAATGTGCTGCTGGCTGAGGTGAGTGCGGGTGTACCGTACAGCACCGCCCGGCCCACAGCACTGCATGGGTGTGCGGAGGCTCTGGCGTTCATCCACGGACAGGAGTACATTCACCGCGACTTCAAGGCCCCTAACGTGCTGCTGGCTGAGGTGAGGAGCACCTTAGAGCACCGTAGAGCACCGCAGAGCACCGTAGAGCACCGCAGAGCACCGTAGAGCACGGCAGAGCACCGTACAGCACCTCAGAGCACCGTAGAGCACCGCAGAGCACAGCTTCGTGTTCATCCGTGGACAGGAGTACGTTCTCCATGGCGTCAAGGCCCCCAACGTGCTGCTGGCAGGCAGAGGTGAGTGCACCAAAGAGCACCGCAGAGCACCGCAGAGCACCATACAACAAATTAGAGCTCTGGCGGTCCACTGGCGGGCAGGAGAACGTTCACCACTTTAAGGCACCCAACGAATGTGCTCCTGGCGGAGGTGGGTGCAACTACAATGTGTAGCAAGGAGTACCGTACTGCCACTGCGAGTGGCAGACTTTGGGCTGGCGAGGATAGTGGACAACTGGAAGGACAGCAAACTTCAATCCTCCCCTCTCACCCCTCTCCTCCTCATCCCTTCCTCTCCCGTTCGCCTCCGTGTTCCTTCCTTCCTCTCGTGCCCCAAGGCCTGCCACCACGTGAAGCGATGTTGTTTTTGAGACGTCTCAAAAACAACCTCGCTTCACGTGTCCTCTCGTGCCCCAAGGCCTGCCACCACGAGTGGCGGATTTTGGGCATTTTGTTTGAGGTTGATTTTGAGAATTCTCAAACAAAATGGATTTTGGCCTGGCGAGGATAGTGGAGAACTGGAAGGACAGAGTCACCCCTCTCGCTCACCCTTCCCCTTCTCGTCGCTCCTCCTCTCTTTCCCTGCTCCCACCCTCTTGCACTTCCTCCCCCCAGGGCCTGTCCCCGCGAGTGGCAGACTCTGGCCTGGCGAGGATAGTGGAGAACTGGAAGGACCATGTGACGACCCACCCTCCTCCTGTCCCCCATCAGGGTCTGTCCCCCCGAGTAGCCGACTTTGGCCTTGCAAGGATAGTGGAGAACTGGAAGGACCATGTGACCACCCACCCTCCTCCTGTCCCCCATCAGGGTCTGTCCCCCCGAGTAGCCGACTTTGGCCTTGCAAGGATAGTGGAGAACTGGAAGGACCATGTGACCACCCACCCTCCTCCTGTCCCCCATCCCCCATCCCCTCCTCCCCCTCCCTGCTGCCTCCTTTCCCCTCCCTCCCTTGTACCTCATTTCCCCATCCTCGCCTCTCCCCATCAGGGTCTGTCCCCCCGAGTAGCCGACTTTGGCCTTGCAAGGATAGTGGAGAACTGGAAGGACCATGTGACCACCCACCCTCCTCCTGTCCCCCATCAGGGTCTGTCCCCCCGAGTAGCCGACTTTGGCCTTGCAAGGATAGTGGAGAACTGGAAGGACCATGTGACCACCCACCCTCCTCCTGTCCCCCATCCCCCATCCCCCATCCCCTCCTCCCCCTCCCTGCTGCCTCCTTTCCCCTCCCTCCCTTGTACCTCATTTCCCCGTCCTCGCCTCTCCCCATCAGGGTCTGTCCCCCCGAGTAGCCGACTTTGGCCTTGCAAGGACAGTGGAGAACTGGAAGGACCATGTGACCACCCACCCTCCTCCTGTCCCCCATCAGGGTCTGTCCCCCCGAGTAGCCGACTTTGGCCTTGCAAGGATAGTGGAGAACTGGAAGGACCATGTGACCACCCACCCTCCTCCTGTCCCCCATCCCCCATCCCCTCCTCCCCCTCCCTGCTGCCTCCTTTCCCCTCCCTCCCTTGTACCTCATTTCCCCATCCTCGCCTCTCCTCATCAGGGTCTGTCCCCCCGAGTAGCCGACTTTGGCCTTGCAAGGATAGTGGATAACAGGAAGGACCATGTAACAACCCGCCATCACCCCCTTCTGTCGCCCTCCCACTCCCCCCCTTTCGTTCCCTCCCTCCGTCTCCCCACACCAGGGCCTGTCCCCCCGAGTAGCCGACTTTGGCCTTGCAAGGATAGTGGAGAACTGGAAGGACCATGTGACGACGAGAGTGATGGGGTCACGCGGGTACATTGACCCTGAATACTTTGAGTCAGGTGTGCTGGGATGGGAGGGAGGGAGAACAGGGAGCAGCAGGGGAGTCACGCGCCAGGTGTGCTGGGAGGGGGATTGGTGTGAGTGGCTGGTCGGGTGTCTGGCTAGTCATGGAGAATTTGCACGACCATGTGACGACGAGAGTGATGGGGTCACGGGGGTACATCGACCCTGAATACTTCGAGTCAGGTGCGGTGGGGTCGGCAGAAAGAGTCAAAGAGAGAAATACACTAGGTGAGTCAGGTTGGTGGTTGACGAGTTGAGCGGGGGTGTTTAGAACCTCTCATAACGACCATGTGACGACCCGTGTGATGGGGTCACGGGGATACATCGACCCTGAATACTTCGAGTCAGGTGCGGTGGGAGGGGATTTGGGTGAGTGGCTGGTTGGGTGTCTGGTTAGTCTGGTGCACGGCTTGTCAGTTTGTCATGGAGAATTGGAAGGACCATGTGACGACGAGAGTGATGGGGTCACGGGGGTACATCTACCCTGAATACTTCGAGTCAGGTGCGGTGGGAGGGAGGGAGGGAAGAATAGGGAGCACCAGGGGAATCAGGCAGGTGAGTCGCGCGGGGTGGATTTTGGAGGAAAGCAGGTGTTTTCTGGTAATTGTGGAAGGACCATGTGACGACGAGAGTGATGGGGTAACGCGGGTACATCGACCCTGATTACTTTGAGTCAAGTGCGCTGGGGGATAGGGAAAGGGAGAGATAGTGAGAGAGAAGGGGCGAGATGGAGTGAGAAGGGTAGGGGCCCTACCCAGGTGGCAACTGGTTGAGCTGGCCTTTGTAACTCTCTTACCCTTCGCACCCCTCGCAGGCCACTGTGATGCACATTCAACATCCTCATTCAGCTTGTGGCAGAGCACTCAGGGATAGGCCCATAAGCCCATAAGCCCATAAGCCCATAAGCCCATAAGCCCATAAGCCTATAAGCCTATAAGCCCATAAGCCCGTAAGCCCATAAGCCTATAAGCCCTTAGCTGTTTCTCCCCCTTGCCACCCACTCTCCCCTCCAGGCTACCTGAGCGAGTACTGTGACACATTGGCTTGTGGTTTTTTCCTTATCAAGCTCGCCACGGGCCACTCAGTGATGAAGACCCTCTCGTTCCCTCTTCCCCTTCCTTGTTCTCCTCCACCCCTCTGTTCTCCCCTCTTCCAGGCTTCCTGAACGAGCACTGCGACACATTTGCCATTGGTATTTTTTCTTATCGAGCTCGCCACAGGGCACTCAGTGATAAACATTAACCCCTGTGTGGTTCTCTTCCTCCTCTCTTCCCCCCCCTCAGGCTACCTGAACGAGCACTGCGACACATTTGCCTCCGGTATTTTCCTCATAGAGCTCGCCACAGGGCACTCATTGGCAATGAGCTAGCCACAGGGCACTCATTGACAATGAGCTAGCCACAGGGCACTCATTGGCAACGCCCTATATGGTTTTCTTCCTCTCTGTACCTTCTACCCCTCTGTTCTCTCTCTTCACACAGGCTACCTCAACGAGCACTGTGACACATTTGCCTTTGGCATCTTTCTCATCGAGCTCGCCACGGGTCACTCAGTTCTCGAGGCCAAGTTCGACGATGTGGTGAACGGTGCAGTGCGGTCGGACGATGTGGATCTGGGTGCGGTGATGGACCCGCGATTGCAAGGGCAGTGGAGCGAGGAGCAGGCGAAGACGCTGCTGGGAGTGGCGAAAGTATGTATTACGACGGATTGGGACGACCGGCCTACCATGGACAACGTGGTTGAAATGATGCAAGGGGTGATGTGATGAGAAAGCAGTTTCGGAATGACTTTTGAGTTGACTCGAGAGGATCAGGCGAAGACGCTGCTGGGAGTGGCGAATGTGTGTGTGACGACGGATTGGGACGACCGGCCTACCATGGATCATGTGGTTGAGATGATGCAAGGGGTGATGGGATGAGGAGCGGGGGTGTTGAGTAGGCGATTGACTGGGATAACCGGCCCACCATGGATAACGTGCTTGAGATGATGCAGGGGGTGATGGGATGAGAAAGCAGTTCCCCGAATGGCTGTTGAGTTGACTCGAGAGGAGCAGAACAGGCGGAGGCTGTGCGGGGTTTGGCGTAAGTGTGTGTGTGACGACGGATTGGGATGACCGGCCATGGATAACGTGCTTGAGATGATGCAGGGGGTGATGTGATGAGGAGGGGTGATATTCGAAAGGATTCTCAAGTGCTGCTGAGAAGAGGGAAACATTGCCCAGAAGGATTCAGGGCTGGTGGGACGAGGAGGGCGTTGTCTTGGAGGCGCCATGGTTGTCGGGATGATGTGACATGCATGTACTGCCGTTTAGAGGGTCGGTGGGATGAGTTTCTGTAGAGGCAACTCTGGTGTGTGGGCTGTAGTGCTTGAAGTCTTTCAGTTAAGGTTCTATTCATCATCGCTTTATAGAATTGATCCGATGAGTTGAACGTGTTTATTCTACAGTAGATGTTATGTGATGTTCATCTGTCCTTTAGTTGTAATGTCTAATCAATGTTCTGCTCTGACCGTATGGCTTCTGATGTTCTAACAGCTAATGCAGCTTGATATTGTTGGGCTTGCCTGCTCGTTGGCTGATCTGAAATGTTGTAGTTTAGGCAGTACAAAAGTGAGATGTAGTTATCCAGCTTTGTAAACTCCCGACAAGTTTTCTGAGTCTGACGCTGCGACCCGAACCCTGTCACCCACATCCTTCAAACAGTGCTGATGCAAACCCGCCAGTCTGTCATGGCAAGCCACGTCGGGCTTACGTCAGCCTGTGGAGTCGAGCTGTTTCGCAGCTGTATTTGTGTCCTCTTCCACGCCCAGATCAGGACAGTTTGAAAAGTTCGTCGACCAGTTAAAGATTCACAATTTACGTTACCAGCAGTTTCGTCGTCGTTTAAGCTTAGCTTTTCGCATCTATCATAAATACGCGCCACGACGCCCCTTACGCTACGCACCGCATCACTAAGGATTTGCAATCTTTACAGTGTACTGCACTCCCCTCCGCTTCCTCACTCTCCTTACATCTTGTAAAATCTACATGATCTCACCACCACCTCACTCTTCCCTCAGGCCATTCCTCATAACCACCCCCGTTCCAATCCACCACACACTCAAAATCTTCAGCAGCCATACCCTCGGTACAGGCAGGGAGACCCCAGGGAGAAGAGCGTTCGTGACGAGGTTTGATCTCAACGTGGTGCCACCGCAGGGTGAGCACGTGAGTAAATTGTCCGCAGGTGCCGATAATCGCCAAGACACAGTAATCGCTAGAACTATGATATCCCGCTAGTCCATCCTCACGCCTTCACAAGTTCTTGCGACGCAGACTGATGTTACTGTACATCAGACTTCGTACAGTGCTATACTGTGCTCCTATATCTTGGCTGAGTCAACCAGGTGCCGGCCTGAGGTGCTGGCTGCCAGGCTGGCGCTCGTCTGGAAAGGAGCGGGAGGCCGGGAAACGGACAAAAGGACTGCCATGCCGTCGAGCCGCGGCGAAGCAAGCTCCATGTCGAGGATGCTTCAGCACCGAGTCCTATATGGTGAGCACACCAACTCATTCTTTCCGAACGTCAGGTTCGAGATTACTCTCTCATCGCGTACATTCGCAGCCAGGCGCGAAATTTGAGTCGACGCAGTACTTGCGATTCATTTGCGCTAGTTCCCAGCCAGCGGCGTTTAGCTCTCGCTTTCAATCGAGAGTGCTTCAGCGTCACGCTAGTAGAATCGCTGTTCGCCACCGAAGGAAGAGGCTAGCATTGTCTCATTTTCAAGGGAAGTTTTCGTCGGCCCTCTTTCAGTGCTCGAGCTTCTCTTTACATAATTTGAAGTCATTAAAATGGCTGTGCGCGGCACAATATACTCTCCACGGATCTGCGGCGGGATCGTCAGCCTCGCGATTGCCATACTCGTTATACACCCACAGCTTTCCTTCATCGCCGTCGGATCAAATCTCCCCCCCGGCGGCTGCGACACGTGCCGCCAGCTGCGCGGGCTGGAAGACGCGGGGGTGAACGCGCGTAGCCTGCACCGGCACGCGGCGCTCGTCGGCAACTTCAAGGGGCTCTTCCTCAGCCAGCGCGGCAAGTTCAAGAACCACGCCAGAGGATCCGGCCCCGTCAATCTCGAGGTTTTCCAGGTGCGAGAACACGGTGGCTCACTCACAGACGTGACGTTTCGGTCTCTCGCGTTTCTTTGCGTTTGCAGTTGAAACGTAGCTCGTGTTTTTAAATAATTAATCACGCCTAATACGGAAATGCTAATGTTTATGTGTGCGTATGTCGTTTGTTTGTCCAGGAAGTTGGTAACCACGTGGCTGTCGTCGACGGCGAAGCTGGCGATACCCTTGAAAAGTGCTGCGATGCATGCAAGCGAACAGCCGGCTGCCTCCAATACCACTTCTTCCTCAGGTGAGCTTCGATCTTGAATTCTCAATCAGCAGATTAAATTCGCGCCGCGTGCGCGCTTGCATGTGCTTCCCCTCGTACTATCCAGATTGCTTTCGGAATTAGTCTCTTACCGTTTATCAGCTCTCTTCTCAACTGCCGCTTTCCCATTTCTTCCTATTGCAACAAACTCTCTAGACGTCTCAATCTTCCGCGGCACTCCCTACACTTCTCTTCCCGACTTTTCCTGTTACAGCAACCGGCTACGCGACAATGTCAACGTCCGCGGCTTCATGAGCGGCGTGCAGTGCTACCTGCTCGCGAAAGACGGCGGCGCGGGTCACTCTGGCGAGTACCGGACGCCTCTTAGCGGGGATGTCAAGGAGCAGCGCGCTATGTCGCCGTATTTCCCGCTCAGCTGGCTCGGTGGGCTGTGCGACGGAAGCCGCGCCACAGCAACGCCTGGCGAATCCGCTGCCGCTGGTAATGATTCTACAGGCGCACTGCCGCTTGCAACATCATCAGCACGGCGTTTTGGAAAGCCAGCAAGGACAGCGTCAGCTGTGCTTCGGCGGAAGGCGGAGAGACCGCCGCCGCTGTCCCCGCAAGGCCTGCTCAACGCGTCTTTCTGCCTCGTTTCCGACCGTAGATTGCACATCAACATCAAGCTCCGCGAAACTCCACCGCAGGCTGCTGGTGCTGACCTGGCGGAGGTGTCCAGTGACGTGGCGTATGCTGCCGCCCCGACATCCAACCCTACCTTCGCCCAGATGTCAACAGCAGCTGCTGCCGATGCCGCTGCTGCTGCCAGGAAGGAAGCTGAGAAGAGAGCAACAGCAGCTGTTGTGAGGGCTGCTCTTGCAAGCACTAGTGATGAAGTGAGTGGTGTAGTGGAAGGACGAGAGGGCGAGAGAGAGGGAGCACAGGCAGCTATCAGGGAGATCGGGTTTGTGTGGGTGGCTGATGGGCTGCATTCCCTTCGTATGGCCGTAACACCCAAGGTAACCGCTGAGAACAGCAGGAATATCACAGATACTGCCAATAGTTTGTTGTCCCTTCTGGAGCTGGATGGCGTGCCACTGTCGCCCCCAGAAGCAGTGGGTGAGCGGGTGACTGGATCAGGAGGGCTGGTTCTTAGCAAAGTGGCAGAGGAGAGCGAGTGGCCTGTGAACATGGTGAAGTATAGGGTGGAGATTGAGGGGTTGATGGTGGTGGAGGTGCGGGCAAGCATCGTGCGGGGCGAAGGGGATGCGGGTGAAGGGCACCTGTCTGTGATGCTGATGAAGGTGAAGGTTTCTCCCACGGTCAATGGACTCCTGGGTAGCGCAATCCGAGCATCCTCTAAGCTGGAACTGACTGTGACGCCGTTTCACACATCCTTGAACATTGAAGACCGAAACGCAGAGGCTGGCCTAAGTGGCCCTCTTGCCGATTATGTCTCCACGACAGAGATTTCAGCGGACTGCAGATTCTCAACATTTGGAGTGGTTGCTTGAAAGTCCCTCTTTAAGAGGGTCAAGTGCTAGGTAGGACATATTCCTTCATTATTTTATGTATATAACAATGTTCCAATGTCACTTCGCCCGCAAGCGAGATTTCAATACACCTACATGTTTGTAGCAAAGCATTGTTGAAATGCTTCAGACGCGACAGGCGAAGCACGGAATATCGTTGCTTCGGGTACGAAACACATTTCCTTCTGAATGTTACAGATTCCCCATGCAAACGACGTCGCCACCTGGTGTAGCGCACAGGGGATTGGGCATCGATATTCTTCGTCATGTTCGCTTGCCCCTCCCAGCCATAGGCGAAGAAACTCTTATTCCCCACCACACATCAGTTGTGGAGATCCCAAGGAATTTGGGTCTCCCTAGGAACTACACGACTGGAGATTTTACGAAAAGAACGGATAGTCGTTGCTCAATACTTACTTCCACCGTATCCTATGCCTCTGACGGTGTCAGGGAAGCAGCAGCGTCGTCGGGAGTAAGCCAAGGTCCATTAGCTTCTCCGGCTGTTTTTGTCCTTGCGCTCAGTTTCTGCGCTGCCAGATATGGCACTTGCGGCTCGCCTATCATCCTCCAGCATCGTAGCTGTTTCGACTACGCTCACATCGTCTGCCGGATCAGCTGGATCGTCGCGTTCTGCGAATCTTCTCGCATATTCGCGCGCTGATTGGTCGCACGGGCTTAGCCTCCGATCGTTGCCGTCTGTCGCCGCTAACATGTCGAGAAGTCGAAGCAGTGTCAGCACGATCAAGTGCATGGCGGAGGCGTCCCAAACGACCGGTCTGTGCTTTCTTACTGTAGAGTGCAGGATGATTATAAATGCGTAGCTTTGCTGGTGTCACTTTCGCCGGCATTGCGGGACAGCAGAGCATTCAGGGTTACCTAGAATTCGGGTTTCCAAGAGTTAGGGTTACACGCAGTTCGAGATCGTAACGCACGCTCACGAATGTTTGATGTAGCTACCGTGACGTGGCTGCATTAGGAGGTTACGTTTGAAACGGCAACCTGACGCTTTTCATTACTCGCAGGGTCCAGTTTTCAGGCTTCAGGCTCGCCACAACCGTGTTTCCGCACAACTACTTTGACAAACTCCTTCGCATGCAGATTCCTGAGTTCTAATCCTCTTGGACTTTCTTTCTCCACCTTCCCCATTATCCCCCGCACCCCTCTTCCTCTCTTCCCGCCTCCCTCGTCCCGCTGTCTCCCTCGACCGTTTGCTTTTCCTGCTTTCCGTGCCAGCAGCCGCTGCGGTCTCTTCGCCAGCCACTGGCCTCCGCGTGTTCCGGCTCGCTGACCTGGCAGAGGATGACGTGGCGCAGCTGCTCACCAGGCCGCGCATAGACTTCACCTCTATCTTCAGCACGGTAGGAACCTTCCGCCGATGCTTTCTCCGTAAATTCCTCCTCCTGCAACCTCAGCGCCATTCACCCCCCCATCCTCAATCCGCGAATCCCTTACACCCCCCCACCTCAACCCCCTCCCCCACAATACCCTTACTCCCAGAGCTTCTAACTGTCCGGCTCCTCCGCTTCCCCCAATACCACGCCCCATTCCCCCCCCCCCTCTCTCTCTCAAGCAGTCCTGTATTGATATGGTTCATAGGGTACAAACAAGGCATGGGTAGTTCGAACACGCTATCCTAGAAACATGCCCCCCCCCCCCCTCTCTCTCTCTCTCTCTCTCTCTCTCTCTCTCTCTCTCTCTCTCTCTCTCTCTCTCTCTCTCTCTCTCCCCCGCTCTCCTTTCTCTCCAGGTGGGTCCTATAGTGGAGGATGTGAGGCAACGGGGCGACGAGGCTGTTAAAGAGTACGTACTGAGCGTGCCACTCAAAAAACACAATGTAACGCATTTTCTGCTGGCTTCTGTAATCACCTATAAGGTTGTGCCAAACCCTTCTGTTCCCCACCACGTTCCCATCCCACCACCTTTTCCTCAATCAATAAGCTGCTTCTCTTCACAGCGTCCCGTCCACTCTCCACCCACCCTACCACCCATCACCTTCCCCTCCCCCGTTTCGTAGCTTTCAAATTCGTCTGAAATTTTGCCGTTTTTCTATACCCATCTATCCCTCTCTAACCCTCCCCATCCTGCCCAATCCGCGACAGACCCCTATTTTTCCTTCTCCCCCCTTCTCTACCCCCTCTCTATCCCCATTCCCCACGTCCACCAATCAGGTACACGGAGAGGTTTGACCGAGTCAAACTGGATGACGTGGTGGTCCGAGTGGCAGAGCTGCCTGACCCTGAGGTACGCACCACAGTCCACCCCTCCCCACCCCTCCCCCCCCTTGCTCAAGTCAACCCCCAATCTCTTAGTCAGCTCAAAAGTGGTGGTCCGAGTGGCAGAGCTGCCTGACCCTGAGGTACGCACCACGGTCCAACCCCCCCCCCTTGCTTTTAAGCAACCCCCATTTTTCAAGCCAACTCAAAGGTGGTGATTAGTGGCAGAGCTGCCTGACCCTGAGGTACGCATTGCATGACTGTGACCCAGAACAGAGGTAACCGTCAGTGACTGTCTATCTGAACTAGTAACCATCACTGCTACCCTCATCCTCCGCCCAAACCCCTCCCTCGTCCAATTCTTCGCACCCTCCCTGTCGTTTACCACCTGTTTCCCACTTATCCCCCTCTTTTCCCACTTGTCCCCCTCTTTACACATAGAACCTGCCCGACAAACTGGGATTTTAGAAGGGGGGGAAGGGAGGGGAAAGAGGGTGGGAGGTTCTAGACGTCTCAAAACTCTTTACATCTGGAACCTGTCCCACAAAATGCCTCTGATATGCACCTACGTTTGTTTCCTGTAAAAGGATATCTTGCTTGCAGCATCACCTCCCAAGTCATTTTCCCGGTTCCACCCCGACCTCCTATCTCTCCTCCCCTTTTCCGCCTCTCCTCCTCCACCTCGATCCGTCTCTACTCTCTTTCCCGCCCGGTCCCACGCCCTCAGCTGCCTGCTGACGTGGCAGCAGCGTTTGACGTGGCGTTCAGCAACATCCACAAGTTCCACCTGGCACAGATGCCGTCCAGCTCGTTCCAAGTGGAGACCATGCCGGTGAGTGAGGGGAGTTAGAAAGGAAAGGTGCGGAGAGCAGAGGAGAAGTGGGAGAGGGGTATGACGAGTGATCGGTAGAGAAGTCAGACAGAGAATGGCGGTGAGAGAGATGGAGGTTAGGAGAGAGGGAGTGGGCGAGTGGGGAGGACTTTACGAACAACCCTTCCTTTCCCGTACGTCTCCTACCCTCACTCCTATCAATCGGCAGGGAGTGGTGTGTGGGCGAGTGGCGAGGCCCATAGAACGTGTGGGGCTGTACGTGCCAGGAGGTACTGCTGTGCTGCCTTCTACTGCTCTCATGCTCGCCGTGGTGAGTGCGGGAGTGAAGGAGAGGTGAAGTGTATGTTATTTTCTGCGTTCGAAAGACGCCCATAGAGCGGGTGGGGCTGTATGTGCCTGGGGGTACCGCTGTGCTGCCCTCCACTGCTCTCATGCTCGCTGTGGTGAGTGCAGGGGAGGGAGTAAGCAATTGAGAGGAGAAGTGTGTGAGTATGACGCCGCCCGACTCTTTTGAGCTCTACTGCACCGCCCGTCACAGCCGGCAGGCACAGCCGTTCTCACTTGCTCTGACGGGCTTGCAGCCAAGCCATCATAGCCGTTCCTTGCAGCCCGTTCTCTGACCGTTCATAGCAGGCTGCATCGTTGGTGTTTACTCAAGGCAATTCATTCCTTTCGTTGCCATCCCTCCTCACTACATGCCTCCGCCCCTCATTCCACTTCTCCTTCTTCCTCCCCAGCCGGCAGGCATAGCAGGCTGCACCACTGTGGTGGTCGCCACTCCCCCAACCCCTCTAGCTTCGCTCCATCTCTCCGTCGCATCCAACCCCCCTCGCTCTTGCCGCTCGATCCATCGCCCCCCCACTCCACCTCCCAGCCGGCAGGCATAGCAGGCTGCACCACTGTGGTGGTCGCCTCGCCACTCCTCCTCTCCCCATTTAACTTCACTCAGTCTCTCCACCTCTTCCCTTCCCCTTTCCCCTCGAATCCTCAATCCATCTCTCTCACCGCATCCCAGCCGGCAGGCATAGCGGGCTGCACCACTGTGGTGGTCGCCACTCCTCCCCGCCCGGATGGTTCAATCTGCCCGGTACGTCTCTTTCCTGCCCGTTGATTCATCGTATTGATGTAATTTCTGCTCTCACGCGCACTCTCTTAACTATGTACCGCTCTGCACCCTGCATCACCCATGAGGGGGGTGGTGTTTTCCTCACCCCCCCTTCGCCACACCCCAGGAGGTGTTGTACAGCGAGCAACCGTTCACTGCAAGACGGCCGGCATTACTCGCATTCCTACAATTAGATTACACATGCTCACTCACACTCCCATCATCTTCTTGCACTCTCCTCCTTGTCCCATCTTATAATCCAGGAGGTGCTCTACTGCTGCAAGAAGGCCGGCGCCACTCACATTCTCAAGGCGGGAGGGGCTCAGGTGAGTGCGAGATCCAGACATAGCTCAGGTGAGTGCGAGATCCAGACATAGCTCAGGTGAGTGCGAGATCCAGACATAGCTCAGGTGAGTGCGAGATCCAGACATAGCTCAGGTGAGTGCATGTGTGTGCTTGTAACGCGATGAGCTAGTCCGGGGACGTGGAGAGGGAGGACTACTGATGGGCGAGAGGGGAGAGGGAGAGGAAGAGGAAGACGCTTCGTCCGTTGCTTCTCGCCCTCGAGTTCTGTTTTCACCTTTTTCTGCGCCGCTCAACTTTCTGACATCGGTGATCTTCTCAGGTCAATCTTGGTGATCTTCACCTTTTTCCGCGCTTCTTAGTCAATCTAATAGTCGCTCAGGTCTTCCTTCCCACGCCTTCCCATGCTCACTCCCACGGCGCAGGCTATTGCAGCCATGGCATGAGGCACAGCCACCTGCTGAGTACTAAGAACACCCTCCCTTCCCCCCCTCCCCACCTTTCCGCCCCTCCACCTTGCCACCGTCGTTCCCACGGTGCAGGCTGTTGCAGCCATGGCATGGGGCACAGCCACCTGTCCCAAGGTAAGCCATTCACTCCTGCCATGCCTGTGCCATGTCACTGCCACCATGCCTGGCGCCCTGCCCTATATCGTGCTTGGGGTTACAGAAACACCCAATCGCCTCAGGCGCTTGGGGCTGTGACATCCCTCCGTCCCATTCAACATGCTCCTCTCCTCCCCTTTCCCCGGCATCACCCATACCGCCTGGTCAGTGGTCATGAGGGCTCGTCTCCTCATGCCCAGTAGATGACAGCAGCAGCCATGCCTCACGGCTCACGGCTCTCTCCTTTATCGACCCTTGTCCCATCACCACCCATCACCACTCATCACCACCCATCACCACCCATCACCACCCATCACCACTCATCACCGCTCACCACCCCTCAGGTGGACAAGATCTTTGGTCTCGGCAACCAGTACGTGAAAGCAGCAAGCCTTGCTGCTGCTGCTCTCTCTCTCTCTCATGCCTCTCCCTTCTCCACCCTTGCCCCATCACCACCCATCACCGCCCACTCACCACCACTCACCACCACTCACCACTACGCAGGTGGACAAGATCTTTGGCCCGGGCAACCAGTACGTGACAGCAGCCAAGATGGCGCTGCAGACGAGCGAGGCCATGGTCTCCATCGACATGCCTGCGGGGCCTTCCGAAGTGCTTGTCATTGCCGACGAGACGGCTTCTCCTTCCCACGTCGCCGCCGACCTGCTGTCCCAGGTATGTCCAGTTCGGTGCACTCAGGTTTGTATGTCCAATTCCCAGCTGTGAGCCAAGATGGCACTGCAGAGCAGATGAGTGAGGCCGTGGTGGCCATCGACATCCGTGCTGGTTGCTCGTTATTGCCGACGAGCTGGCGCTCTGCAGTCCCAGGTGAGCATTCTGCTGGTAGACCAGTGAGGCCATGGTGGTTATCGACATCCCTGCTGGGCCCTCTAAGGTCCTTTCGACCAACCGTCCTTTCCATCTCTGTCTCCCTCTTTCCAATCATTCAGGCGGAGCACGGGCCGGACAGTCAGGTGGTGGCGGTGGGCGAGGGGGAACCAACTGTGATTGTTTTTCCAATCATCCCTCCTCTCCTCTCCATCTCTATCTCCCCCTCCTCCTCCCATCAGGCGGAGCACGGGCCAGACAGTCAGGTGGTGCTGGTGGCGGTGGGCGAGGGGGTGAACTTGGCAGCCATCGAGGCAGAGGTGGAGCGGCAGAGGGGGGAGCTGCCCCGAGGGGACGTTGCTGCCAAGGCGCTGAGCCACTCTTATGTGGTGGTGGCTGCTGATATCAACGAGGTAAGTTGCATGAAATTCCAGGTTGAGAGGCAGAGAGGGTCCTGTTGCTGCCAAAGAGCTGAGCCACACTCTTTTCGTTGTGGTGGCAGCTGAAATCAGAGATGTATAACAAGGGCGCACAGCCTAACATAGCAGGGTGTGTGAAGTGACGGATGGGTGGAAAGGCGGAATTGCCGCCAAGGCGCTGAGCCACTCTTACGTGGTGGTGGCAGCTGATATTCACGAGGTATGAAAGATGCAGACAGAGACATGAGCCATTAACGCCTAAGCTATGGTCTCCCCTTATTCCCCTGTTACTCTGGCCCCCATCCCACTAGGTATGCCCTTCTCCTACCGCTATTCCCCCAGCATCTCATCGTCAATGCCTGAGACACCATCTCTTTGCGGTGCTGCCTCAGGTTAGGTTCCCCCCCTCACATTGCCCCCTTTTACTCTGCCCCCCCTTCCCACCAGGCGTGCCTCTTCTCCAACCGGTACGCCCCCGAGCATCTAATTATCAACGCCGCACAGGCGGTGGACTGCCTGCCCCTCATCCGCAATGCTGGTGAGCCTCCTCCTTCTCCCTGCCCTCAAATATTTCTGAGAATCATAAGAAATCTCTCGCAACGTCATCCTCCTTCCAGCCGACCATGTGGCTGCCATCCTCCTCAACACCATCCCATCCCAATCGCCCATCCGCCATCCCCCATGCCTCTTTCCTCTTTAACTCTCAGGGTCAGTCTTCCTGGGCCCATGGACCCCAGAGAGTGTGGGAGACTACGCCAGCGGAACCAACCACGTGCTGCCCACCTACGGCTATGCACGCATGTACGGCGGCGTGTCTCTCGACGCCTTCTTCAAGCACATCACCGTGCAGTCTCTCTCTGCCTCGGGCCTGCAGCTGCTGGGTCCCTCTGTGGCTAAGATGGCCGAGGTCGAAGGGCTCGAGGCACACAGACGTGCGGTTACCCTACGGCTGGCGGACATCGAGGCTGCTTCTCAGTAAAAACTTCATCCATTCGAGTGAAGGGTTGTGTTTGCTGTATGCTGAACGCTCTAGTGACTGGCAGGTTCAAAGTTAGGGAAAAAATTACCCAGGTTGAAGGGTCAGCAGCTTCATCAAGCACATCACCATAAGAACACGATATTACTGTCTCCGTTCCTCCTTCCACTGCACAACCACATATGAACTCTTTGTCTCAGGCCTCTAGTTGCTTTAGAACCCTTTTTTTTACCAGGATCCTTGGAGGGCAGGAGGGGCCCTTGTTGCCAGAGGCACTGCACACTGCCACCGGCAGTTCACAACTGGATTTGAGGCGCCTCAAACCAGCAAACGAGGTCCTACTCTGCTTCCCTGCAACCTGTGTTCCCTGCAACCTGCTTCACCCCCTGTTCTGCTTCGCTGCAACCTGTGTTCCCTGCAACCTGCTTCACCCCCTGTTCTGCTTCGCTGCAACCTGTGTTCCCTGCAACCTGCTTCACCCCCTGTTCTGCTTCCCTGCAACCTGTGTTCCCTGCAACCTGCTTCACCCCCTGTTCTGCTTCCCTGCAACCTGTGTTCCCTGCAACCTGCTTCAACCCCTGTTCTGCTTCGCTGCAACCTGTGTTCCCTGCAACCTGCTTCACCCCCTGTTCTGCTTCCCTGCAACCTGTGTTCCCTGCAACCTGCTTCACCCCCTGTTCTGCTTCCCTGCAACCTGTGTTCCCTGCAACCTGCTTCACCCCCTGTTCTGCTTCGCTGCAACCTGTGTTCCCTGCAACCTGCTTCACCCCCTGTTCTGCTTCGCTGCAACCTGTGTTCTCTGCAACCTGCTTCACCCCCTGTTCTGCTTCCCTGCAACCTGTGTTCCCTGCAACCTGCTTCACCCCCTGTTCTGCTTCGCTGCAACCTGTGTTCCCTTCAACCTGCTTCACCCCCTGTTCTGCTTCGCTGCAACCTGTGTTCCCTGCAACCGGCTTCACCCCCTGTTCTGCTTCGCTGCAACCTGTGTTCCCTGCAACCTGCTTCACCCCCTGTTCTGCTTCGCTGCAACCTGTGTTCCCTGCAACCTGCTTCACCCCCTGTTCTGCTTCCCTGCAACCTGTGTTCCCTGCAACCTGCTTCACCCCCTGTTCTGCTTCGCTGCAACCTGTGTTCCCTGCAACCTGCTTCACCCCCTGTTCTGCTTCCCTGCAACCTGTGTTCCCTGCAACCTGCTTCACCCCCTGTTCTGCTTCGCTGCAACCTGTGTTCCCTGCAACCTGCTTCACCCCCTGTTCTGCTTCACTGCAACCTGTGTTCCCTGCAACCTGCTTCACCCCCTGTTCTGCTTCCCTGCAACCTGTGTTCCCTGCAACCTGCTTCACCCCCTGTTCTGCTTCCCTGCAACCTGTGTTCCCTGCAACCTGCTTCACCCCCTGTTCTGCTTCGCTGCAACCTGTGTTCCCTGCAACCTGCTTCACCCCCTGTTCTGCTTCGCTGCAACCTGTGTTCCCTGCAACCTGCTTCACCCCCTGTTCTGCTTCGCTGCAACCTGTGTTCTCTGCAACCTGCTTCGCCCCCTGTTCTGCTTCCCTGCAACCTGTGTTCTCTGCAACCTGCTTCACCCCCTGTTCTGCTTCGCTGCAACCTGTGTTCCCTGCAACCTGCTTCACCCCCTGTTCTGCTTCGCTGCAACCTGTGTTCCCTGCAACCTGTGTTCCCCGCAATCTGCTTCACCCCCTGTTCTGCTTCGCTGCAACATGTGTTCTCTGCAACCTGCTTCACCAGGCAAAGCGAAAAAGGCAACAACCATGCATCAGAACGAACAAACCAACGCAAGTGCAAAACGAATAAAGCAACAACAATGCATCTGAACGAACAAACAAGCTAACGCAAAAAAGAGGAAAACCACTGGCAGCACATATTTACTCCACCTCTGTGCTTGTTCGCTCCATCGCTCCCTAAATCGAGAGCAGCAAAGGAGATCCCCACCAGCAGTGGCAGGGGGCTGTCCTTTGCCTCCTCTGCTCCTTTGCTCCTTCAAACTTTCGCACGCCTCCTCTCCTCAGCTGCTCCTCCTCCTCTGATGCATCTCCTTTGCTCCTCCTCCTCTGATGCATCTCCTCTGCTCCTCCTCCCCTGATGCATCTCATCTGCTCCTCCTCTGCACCACACCCCCTTCACTGCAGCACCGCTCCCCCTCCACTGCAGCACAACTCCCCCTCCACTGCTGCTGCCACTGCTGGTGTCACTGCTGGCCTTCTCTTTCTGCTTGCACTGTTGCTGCCACCGGTAGTGTCACCGCATGCCTCTCCCCTACTCCCACTCCTGGTGTCACTGCGGGCGCCACCTCCAATGATGCAGCAGCAGCACCACCTCGCAATGCAGCAGCAGCATCAATCCCCTTCCAGCAGCAGCGCCACTCCACCACAGCACCAGCAGCAGCACATGCGAGGGAGGTAGGAGCGAGGCAGCACAAGGCAGCTAAAGGTAGGTACAGCTCGCACCTTGCTGCTGCCAACTCTAGCCCCTTCTCTGCTCCTCTGCTCTATTCACCTGCTCATCACCTCTCCTGCAGTGGCCTTCTCTTCTGCACACGTAAGGGAGGAAGCATCATTTCTCCCACTGCTGCTCCTCTGCTCCTCTGCAGTAGCACACGGGAAGGCCTTCTCTTCTGCTGCCACTGCTGCTGCCACCGCTGGTCCCACCGCTGGCCTTTTCTTCTGCTCGCCTACCCATCACTTCACAGCACCAGCAGCAGCACGCGGGAGGGAGGTAGGAGCGAGGAAGGTAGCAGCTGCCGTCCCATCACTTCACAGCACCAACAGCCGCACGTGGGAGGGAGGTAGGAGCGAGGAAGATAGCAGCTGCCATCCCATCACTTACACAGCACCAGCAGACGCACGTGGGAGGGAGGTAGGAGCGAGGAAGGTAGCAGCTGCCGTCCCATCACTTCACAGCACCACCAGCAGCATGTGGGAGGGAGGTAGGAGCGAGGAATGTAGCAGCTGCCGTCCCATCACTTCACACCACCAGCAGCAGCACGTGGGAGGGAGGTAGGAGCGAGGAAGGTAGCAGCTGCCGTCCCATCACTTCACAGCACCATCAGCAGCACGTGGGAGGGAGGTAGGAGCGAGGAAGGTAGCAGCCCATCACTTCACAGCACCAGCAGCCGCACGTGGGAGGGAGGTAGGAGCGAGGAAGGTAGCAGCTGCCGTCCCATCACTTCACAGCACCAGCAGCAGCACGTGGGAGGGAGGTAGGAGCGAGGGAGGTAGCAGCTGCCGTCCCATCACTTCACAGCACCAGCAGCAGCACGCAGGAGGGAGGTAGGAGAGAGGGAGGTAGCAGCTGCCGTCCCATCACTTCACAGCACCAGCAGCAGCACGCAGGAGGGAGGTAGGAGCGAGGGAGGTAGCAGCTGCCGTCCCATCACTTCACAGCACCAGCAGCAGCACACAGGAGGGAGGTAGGAGTGAGGGAGGTAGCAGCTGCCGTCCCATCACTTCACAGCACCATCAGCAGCACGTGGGAGGGAGGTAGGAGCGAGGAAGGTGGCAGCTGCCGTCCCATCACTTCACAGCACCTCCAGCAGCATGTGGGAGGGAGGTAGGAGCGAGGAATGTAGCAGCTGCCGTCCCATCACTTCACACCACCAGCAGCAGCACGTGGGAGGGAGGTAGGAGCGAGGAAGGTAGCAGCTGCCGTCCCATCACATCACAGCACCAGCAGCAGCACGTGGGAGGGAGGTAGGAGCGAGGAAGGTAGCAGCTGCCGTCCCATCACTTCACAGCACCAGCAGCATTGCAGCTGTGTGGTTCTCTGCGCCTCTGCTCCTTTAGCCTTCTTCCCTCCATGCCTTCTCTCCTCCGTGGCCTCAGCTCCATGTCTCTCCAATGCTGCATCTTTGTTCCTCTTCTCCATCTCCTTTGCCTCTCCTTCCTCTCCTCTGCTGGTTCTCCTCCCCTTCTGCTGCAACTGCTGCTGCAACCAGCAATGTCACTGCGGGCCTCCTCGCCTCCTCTCCACCTCTCCTCCCCTCTTCCTCGCCTCCTCGCCTCCTTCTCCTCCGATGCATCTACTGCAGAATGGGAAGGAAGGGAAAATTCTATGAGCCGAAGGACCAAGAAATCGAAGGCAGGAAAGAAGATGACAGCCATACAAGAAACGCAAGAGAATTGCACGGATTGGGCAACAAAAGTGCAGAACAACAAAAGAAACATTTGCAGAGGCAGTTTCCATTCACCAGCACGCTCCACTGCTCTTTACCTCCTCTGCTCCTCTCCTCCTCTGCGCCGCTGCTCCACGCCTACTCTCCTCAGCGTCTCCTCTCCTCCGCGCCTCTTCTGCTCCACGCCCCCTCTCCTCCGTGCCTCCTCTGCTCCACGCTCCCTCTCCTCCGCGCCTCCTCGCCTCCACGCCTCCTCTCCTCCTCGCCCCCTCTCCTCCTCGCCTCCTCTGGAGGCTGGAGGCGTCGTAAAGTCTCGCGGCTGTCTGAAACGGGAAGCAACAACGACATTAGTACATGTGGAAAACAGAAAGCAGAAACTTGGAGAGCACTTACCGAGGGGGCTGGAGGCGTCGTGAAGTCCCGTGGCTGTCTGAAACGGGAAGCAACAACGACATTAGTACATGTGGTAAGTTACCACCAATCAGATCTCTGCCTCGAGACCCTATGGATGGGTGTGTGTGTATGTCATGGCCCGAGCCGCCATAACATGTGAATGATGAGGTGAAGTTGAACTGGTGGTGTCAGACGACGAATTCAAATTGAGCCGCTTGTCTAGTCCATCATCATTCAGGCGGTCTTGCTTTCATCCACGTCTTGATTTTACAGTAAAGAATTAATGGCTAGTTATAGAGGTGAACGTAAATCGCTAGTGAATACCTACTTCTATCCTTTCCGCTAATCACACATCTGCCATTACACCTGTCATTTTATCAAAACGTTTGAGATAAATCACCTCGCGTGAAAATATGCACTAACTTGAGGGTAGCTAGCATGGGGGATTTTTTTTTCTCAATTCTTATATTTTGCTTTGATATCCCTTATGATCGGAGGTCTAGTAAAATGTTAGGCACCATGATTCCACTCACTCCATGCACCACCATGTGTGCATCTGTGTAGAGGTCTGGCAGCACCACTCGTACATTCCCCTGCGCTCCCAACAGTGGCTTGCCCATCGCACGATACCCTCCCCTTCCACCTTCTCCATCTCCATCTCCTCAAACCCTGTTGTGAACTGCATGGGCACCAGAGGTTGGGGGGAGGGGGTAAAAAGGGAGGATCAGAAAAAGGGGGAGAGAGAGGTTTGTCAAGGGTGATGGAATGAGCGGGAGTGGCTGGGGAAGGGAGAGGGGGTGGCTGGGGAAGGGAGAGGGGGTGGCTGGGGAAGGGAGAGGGGGTGGATGGGGAAGGGAGAGGGAGTGGCTGTGGAAAGGGGGGGGTGGCGCTGGGTGACGGAGATGGGGAGAGAGCGAGGGCTGAGGAAGGAATATATTAGGCGAGAGAGATTATTGAACGAGCAAAAAGTGCCAGCAAATCTATTGGTGCAAACAATACACCAGCAATGCTGGTGGTGCGATGCGTGCACAAGGCACCACCAACACCCCATCTCACTCACATTTCCATGGCTCCCAAATTCACAACAGCCAGTCTGCGTGCTTCAGCGCACGCACCAGTGAGCATGCACGCACCAGTGAGCATGCACGCACCAGTGAGCATGCACGCACCAGTGAGCATGCACGCACCAGTGAGCATGCACGCACCAGTGAGCATGCACGCACCAGTGAGCATGCACGCACCAGTGAGCATGCACGCACCAGTGAGCATGCACGCACCAGTGAGCATGCACGCATCAGTGAGCATGCACGCACCAGTGAGCATGCACACATCAGTGAGCATGCACGCACCAGTGAGCATGCACGCATCAGTGAGCATGCACGCACCAGTGAGCATGCACGCACCAGTGAGCATGCACGCACCAGTGAGCATGCACGCACCAGTGAGCATGCACGCATCAGTGAGCATGCACGCACCAGTGAGCATGCACGCATCAGTGAGCATGCACGCACCAGTGAGCATGCACGCACCAGTGAGCATGCACGCACCAGTGAGCATGCACGCACCAGTGAGCATGCACGCACCAGTGAGCATGCACGCACCAGTGAGCATGCACGCATCAGTGAGCATGCACGCACCAGTGAGCATGCACGCATCAGTGAGCATGCACGCACCAGTGAGCATGCACGCATCAGTGAGCATGCACGCATCAGTGAGCATGCACGCACCAGTGAGCATGCACGCACCAGTGAGCATGCACGCACCAGTGAGCATGCACGCATCAGTGAGGCTGCAGGTAGTTGTGCCAGCTGAGCGGCAGAGAGCTTCCGGTCGAGAGTGTGGAGGGCGAGCACGCGGTGCATGACGCGGGCACGGCGCGTGACAGGCGGCAGGGAGAAGCGTTATGCGCTTAGGAGAAACGATAGCGTGATGTTGAATTCTGAGCAAGAGAGGAAACACGCCGGGGAAGGGAGAGAAAATGCGGGCTGCGGGAAAGCACCAGGCGTTGGGGAGGGAAAGGGAGGAGGGGGAAAAGATGGTAGGGGAAGTGATGAGGATAATGGCGCTTTAGCAGAAAGCCCGGAGAACAATTCCTAGGAAAAAACGTTTAAAAGAAAGAAAGAATTTGCAGAAAACGTTTTAGATGCATGTTTCCTCGCTCGTTAGCAGAACTGCCCGGAGACCGATTCCTAGGCCCGCAGATTTGTATCAGAGCTTAACGGAGAAGCATGGAGCACGCTAAACAGAGATCCACTGCTTACTAGATCGCTCCATGTTGGAGACTGGCAGCGTGAAGCACGGCATGCACGCACTATTTATCGTACCAGGCTGACTTTTGAGCGGAAGCAGGAAAGTAGGAAAGCAGGAAAGTAGGAAAGCAGGAAAGTAGGAAAGCAGGAGATAAAGCAAGGAATAGTGCGAAAGCAGGAAGGCGGAGGAGGGGGAAGGGTGGGGAAGGGAAGGTTAATGTGGAAAGATAGAAATTTCAGACATTGGAGCGCATATAGCAACATTGTGACTGGTAGACTCACAGCGGAGATTTTATTTGACTTGATATTCTGTTTCTTCGTAGAAGCAGGGAGCATCGCACGTCGCTACTACGGTTTAGATAAGGGTCGACCGCTGATGGTTCCGAATCTCACGGGACCGCTGATGGTACAACCGCGTGAGAGCCATTTCCCGCTGTCATCGCCCCGTGAGCCGCTTCCGCGTCGACTCTTGTAACCAGCGTCCGATCGTCAGCGTGGATCCTTGTAACTAATGTACACTCGCGTACACTGAAACGGCGAGACAAACTGAAGCTAGAGGAGTCGCCGAGGACATCATCGGTCCAAGTGCTTATCAAATATCCGCTACTAGGATTGCCAGGACATGATCAGGATATCCAGAGAAGTAGCCGACACTGACGCAGCGCGAAGTTCGAATCTAAAAAATCCATCTCAGCGCGACATTCGAAAGCCATCGCAGCACGAAATTACTAAAGCCATCGCAGGGAAGTCTCGAAGTGACAATGGTGCGTTTGAAACAGGGGAGTACAAATTGATCACTATCAAGTTCCATTTACTGATCTTTTTACGGTAGCTGTCTATGTGGCTCTGTATGTGTAACTTGTTTCTCTGGTTCAAGTGGTTCTATGGTATCTGTCAGACCAGCAAATACACATCATCGGGTGCATTAATTGACTAAATATATAACATGCTGGTCCATTGTATTCATTGTCTACATATGCCTGAACTAAAGCTACACCTACTGCAGAATTAGTTCAAAAATATGGTAATTATCCATTCAAAGTTCCTAATGATGATCCAATATACATAATAATTAAATGTACTATTGTACTACCCATGCACTGTAGGTATGCATGGGGGGTTCCTCTTGGCCGCCAGGAGCAAGCTCCCAACGTTACACCCAAGCACCGCGGTGAGGTGGGAACCATCGCTCGGGACCCTGTTGGGGGGGAGACAGAACACAAAAGGACACTGGATACTGCCCAGGGGGCAGGTTAAAATTAATCTCAAATCCAATGCTGCCCGGTCTTGTTCCTTGACCAGCTGTACAGTTTTGCTCACTGCAAAGCTTGCAGTGAGGAACATGCAAAAGAGTTTTGGGAGATCTGATCTCCCGAAACCCTGATTTTGCTCACTGCAGCTACACTGCAGTGAGGAAGGCGTGAGTTTTGAGACGTCTGTCAAAACTCACAAGTTTAGTAAGGAAGAGAGAGAGAGAGTGTGTTAGTGAGTTTTGAGATGTCTCTCAAAACTCAGAGAAGAGAAGAGAGGAGGAACGGAACACTGCAGTGCACTGCAGGACACAACAGAACTGCCACCGGCAGCTCACAACTGGATTTGAGGCGCCTCAAACCAGCATACAAGGTCCTCACACCCCTCACTCACTCTGACTCTCACTCTCACTCTGACCCTCACACTCACTCTAACCCTCACACTCACTCTCACTCTGACCCTCCCACTCACTCTCACTCTCACTCTCACTCTCACTCTGACCCTCACACTCACTCTGACTCTCACTCTCACTCTTACCCTCACACTCACTCTCCTCTCACCCTCTCAGTCACTCCGTTCCCTCCTCACTCCCCCCATCACTCTGCTGCTCCTCCCTTCCCAGGAGGTACCAGCAGTCATTGGCTCCCATTGCTGCTCCTCCCAGCAGGTGGCCTTCTCTTCTGCTCCTACTGCTCCTCACTTCCCAGCAGGTGGCCTTCTCTTCTGCTCCTACTGCTCCTCACTTCCCAGCAGGTGGCCTTCTCTTCTGCTCCTACTGCTCCTCACTTCCCAGCAGGTGGCCTTCTCTTCTGCTCCTACTGCTCCTCACTTCCCAGCAGGTGGCCTTCTCTTCTGCTCCTACAGCTCCTCACTTCCCAGCAGGTGGCCTTCTCTTCTGCTCCTACTGCTCCTCACTTCCCAGCAGGTGGCCTTCTCTTCTGCTCCTACTGCTCCTCACTTCCCAGCAGGTGGCCTTCTCTTCTGCTCCTACAGCTCCTCACTTCCCAGCAGGTGGCCTTCTCTTCTGCTCCTACTGCTCCTCACTTCCCAGCAGGTGGCCTTCTCTTCTGCTCCTACTGCTCCTCACTTCCCAGCAGGTGGCCTTCTCTTCTGCTCCTACAGCTCCTCACTTCCCAGCAGGTGGCCTTCTCTTCTGCTCCTACTGCTCCTCACTTCCCAGCAGGTGGCCTTCTCTTCTGCTCCTACTGCTCCTCACTTCCCAGCAGGTGGCCTTCTCTTCTGCTCCTACAGCTCCTCACTTCCCAGCAGGTGGCCTTCTCTTCTGCTCCTACTGCTCCTCACTTCCCAGCAGGTGGCCTTCTCTTCTGCTCCTACTGCTCCTCACTTCCCAGCAGGTGGCCTTCTCTTCTGCTCCTACTGCTCCTCACTTCCCAGCAGGTGGCCTTCTCTTCTGCTCCTACTGCTCCTCACTTCCCAGCAGGTGGCCTTCTCTTCTGCTCCTACTGCTCCTCACTTCCCAGCAGGTGGCCTTCTCTTCTGCTCCTACAGCTCCTCACTTCCCAGCAGGTGGCCTTCTCGTCTGCTCCTACAGCTCCTCACTTCCCAGCAGGTGGCCTTCTCGTCTGCTCCTACAGCTCCTCACATCCCAGCAGGTGCCAGCAGTCTCCTCTGCTCCTCTGCAGTGGTGTCATTGCTACTGCCACCGCTACTGTCTCCTCTTGCAATCCCTTCTGCTCCCACTGCTGCTGCCACCGCTGGTGACACTGCTGGCCTTCTCTTCTGCTCACCGCCCCATCACTTCACAGCACCAGCAGCAGCTAACGGAAGGGAGGTAGGAGCAAGGAAAGTAGCAGTTGTCGTCCCATCACTTCATAGCGCCAGCAGCAGCACAGGCAAGAGAGGCGGGACCACAAGGCAGCAGCAGGTGGTAACAGCTCGATCTTTCTCTTCTCTGCCCCGCAACTCTGCTCCCCCTTTCACTCTGCTCCCCCTTCCATCTGCTTCATCCCCTTCACATCTGCTTCATTCCCTTCACAGCTGCTTCATCCCCTTCACAGCTCCTTGGCAGCAAAAGGTAGCTAAAGGTAGGTACAGCTCGCTGGCATCGCTCATGGCAGTCCAGCGCGCTTGTAGCAGCCGTCTCCTCTGCCCGCCTGTAGCAGCCGTCTCCTCTGCCTGCCTGTAGCAGCCATCTCCTCTGCCCGCCTGTAGCAGCCGTCTCCTCTGCCCGCCTGTAGCAGCCGTCTCCTCTGCCCGCCTGTAGCAGCCGTCTCCTCTGCCCGCCTTTAGCAGCCGTCTCCTCTGCCCGCCTTTAGCAGCCATCTCCTCTGCCCGCCTGTAGCAGCCGTCTCCTCTGCCCGCCTGTAGCAGCCGTCTCCTCTGCCCGCCTGTAGCAGCCGTCTCCTCTGCCCGCCTTTAGCAGCCGTCTGCTCTGCTCGCCTGTAGCAGCCATCTCCTCTGCATCTCGTCTGCTGATCCCTCGCCTCTGCGCCCTTCTGTGAAATGGGAGGAGAATGAGTCAGGGACGATGAGTGCAGTGCAGTGAAGGAACTCAGAGCAAAGTTAAAACCAAGGCAACGACATTCGACCAAACAAAACAACTTAAGTGAAAGAGAAAATCACCATCAGCAGTGAATAGTTATCCACCACCGTGCTCCTTTGCTCTTTGCTCTTCAGTGCAGCACCACTCCCCCTCCACTGCTGGTGTCAATGCTGGCCTTCTCTTTCTGCTGGCACTGTTGCTGCCACCGGTAGTGTCGCCGCATGCCTCTCCCCTACTCCCACCGCTGGTGTCACTGCGGGTGCCACCTCCAATGCAGCAGCAGAAGCACCACCTCCAAACGCAGCAGCAGCACCACTCCCCCTTCAGCAGCAGCGCCACTCCACCACTTCACAGCACCAGCAGCAGCACATGTGAGGGAGGTAGGAGCGAGGCAGCACAAGGCAGCTAAAGGTAGGTACAGCTCGCACCTTGCTGCTGCCAACTCTGGCCCCTTCTCTGCTCCTCTGCACTATTCAGCTGCTCATCATTTTCTCCCACTGCAGCTCCTCTGCACACGGGAAGGGTGGCCTTCTCTTCTGCTGACTCGGCTGCTGCCACTGCTGCTTCCACTGCTTGCATTCCGTTCTGCTGCCTTGGCTGCTGAAACCAGTATGTCACTGCGGGCCTCTCTTCTGCTCGCTGTCCCATCACTTCACAGCACTAGCAGCATCACGCGGGAGGGAGGTAGGAGCGAGGAAGGTAGCAGCTGCCGTCCCATCACTTCACAGCACCAGCAGCATCACGCGGGAGGGAGGTAGGAGTGAGGGAGGTATCAGCTGCCGTCCCATCACATCACAGCACCAGCAGACGCACGCGGGAGGGAGGTAGGAGCGAGGAAGGTAGCAGCTGCCGTCCCATCACTTCACAGCACCAGCAGCATCACGCGGGAGGGAGGTAGGAGCGAGGAAGGTAGCAGCTGCCGTCCCATCACTTCACAGCACCACCACCAGCACGTGGGAGGGATGTAGGAGCGAGGAAGGTAGCATCTGCCGTCCCATCACTTCACAGCACCAGCAGCATCACGCGGGAGGGAGGTAGGAGTGAGGGAGGTAGCAGCTGCCGTCCCATCACATCACAGCACCAGCACCAGCAGACGCACGCGGGAGGGAGGTAGGAGCGAGGAAGGTAGCAGCTGCCGTCCCATCACTTCACAGCACCAGCAGCATCACGCGGGAGGGAGGTAGGAGCGAGGAAGGTAGCAGCTGCCGTCCCATCACTTCACAGCACCACCACCAGCACGAGGGAGGGAGGTAGGAGCGAGGAAGGTAGCAGCTGCCGTCCCATCACTTCACAGCACCAGCAGCATCATGCGGGAGGGAGGTAGGAGTGAGGGAGGTAGCAGCTGCCGTCCCATCACATCACAGCACCAGCAGACGCACGCGGGAGGGAGGTAGGAGCGAGGAAGGTAGCAGCTGCCGCCCCATCACTTCACAGCACCAGCAGCATCACGCGGGAGGGAGGTAGGAGCGAGGAAGGTAGCAGCTGCCGTCCCATCACTTCACAGCACCAGCAGCATTACAGCTGTGTGGTTCTATGCGCATCTGCTCCTTTGGCCTTCTTCCCTCCATGCCTTCTCCGTGCCCTCAGCTCCATGTCTCTCCAATGCTGCATCTTTGTTCCTCTGCTGGTTCGCCTCCCCTTCTGCTCCCACTGCTGCTGCAACCAGTAATGTCAATGCGGGCCTCCTCGCCTCCTCTCCTCCTCGCCTCCTTTCCTCCTCGCCTCCTCTCCTCCTCTCCTCCTCGCCTCCTCTCTTCCTCGCCTCCTCGCCTCCGTCTCCTCCGATGCTTCTCCTGCAGAATGGGAAGGAAGGGAAAATTCTATGAGCCGAAGGACCAAGAAATCGAAGGCAGGAAAGAAGATGACAGCCATATAAGAAACGCAAGAGAATTGCACGGATTGGGCAACAAAAGTGCAGAACAACAAAAGAAACATTTGCAGAGGCAGTTTCCATTCACCACCACGCTCCGCTGCTCCTTACCTCCTCTGCTCCTCTCCTCCTCTCCTCCTCTGCTCCACGCCTACTCTCCTCCGCGCCTCCTCTGCTCCACGCTCCCTCTCCTCCGTGCCTCCTCTCCTCCACGCCTCCTCTCCTCCTCGCCTCCTCTCCTCCTCGCCTCCTCTGGAGGCTGGAGGCGTCGTGAAGTCTCGCGGCTGTCTGAAACGGGAAGCAACAACGACATTAATACATGTGGAAAACAGAAAGCAGAAACTTGGAGAGCACTTACCGAGGGGGCTGGAGGCGTCGTGAAGTCCCGCGGCTGTCTGAAACGGGAAGCAACAACGACATTAGTACATGTGGAAAACAGAAAGCAGAATCTTGGAGAGCACTTACCGAGGGGGCTGGAGGCGTCGTGAAGTCCCGCGGCTGTCTGAAACGGGAAGCAACAACGACATTAGTACATGTGGAAAACAGAAAGCAGAAACTTGGAGAGCACTTACCGAGGGAGCTGGAGGCGTCGTGAAGTCGTGCGGCTGTCTGAAACGGGAAGCAACAACGACATTAGTACATGTGGAAAACAGAAAGCAGAATCTTGGAGAGCACTTACCGAGGGGGCTGGAGGCGTCGTGAAGTCCCGCGGCTGTCTGAAACGGGAAGCAACAACGACATTAGTACATGTGGAAAACAGAAAGCAGAAACTTGGAGAGCACTTACCGAGGGGGCTGGAGGCGTCGTGAAGTCCCGCGGCTGTCTGAAACGGGAAGCAACAACGACATTAGTACATGTGGAAAACAGAAAGCAGAAACTTGGAGAGCACTTACCGAGGGGGCTGGAGGCGTCGTGAAGTCTCGCGGCTGTCTGAAACGGGAAGCAACAACGACATTAGTACATGTGGAAAACAGAAAGCAGAATCTTGGAGAGCACTTACCGAGGGGGCTGGAGGCGTCGTGAAGTCCCGCGGCTGTCTGAAACGGGAAGCAACAACGACATTAGTACATGTGGAAAACAGAAAGCAGAATCTTGGAGAGCACTTACCGAGGGGGCTGGAGGCGTCGTGAAGTCCCGCGGCTGTCTGAAACGGGAAGCAACAACGACATTAGTACATGTGGAAAACAGAAAGCAGAAACTTGGAGAGCACTTACCGAGGGAGCTGGAGGTGTCGTGAAGTCCCGCGGCTGTCTGAAACGGGAAGCAACAACGACATTAGTACATGTGGAAAACAGAAAGCAGAATCTTGGAGAGCACTTACCGAGGGGGCTGGAGGCGACGTGAAGTCCCGCGGCTGTCTGAAACGGGAAGCAACAACGACATTAGTACATGTGGAAAACAGAAAGCAGAATCTTGGACAGCACTTACCGAGGGGGCTGGAGGCGTCGTGAAGTCCCGCGGCTGTCTGAAACGGGAGGCAACAACAACATTAGTACATGTGGAAAACAGAAAGCAGAAACTTGGAGAGCACTTACCGAGGGGGCTGGAGGCGTCGTGAAGTCCCGCGGCTGTCTGAAACGGGAGGCGACAACGACATTAGTACATGTGGAAAACAGAAAGCAGAAACTTGGAGAGCACTTACCGAGGGGGCTGGAGCGTTGTTGATGTCTTCGTGACGGCTAAGACAAGAAGACACACACATAACAACATTAGGCATGCGACGACACAAGAAAGCAAAGAAGACAGCAGCTTACAACGGGTCCTAGCTGCTGCGTCCTCGTGTTGCTCCCACCTTGGTGTTGCCTCCCCCGTTCTTGCTGTACCTAGAAGAGGGGCGGCACAAATTTAATTCTTTGCTGTTGCGTCCCCGTATTGCCCCCGCCTTGGTGTTGCCCCTTGATGCTTGCTGTACCTAGAAGAGGGGCGGCACAAAAAATATATTTTGAAGGTGCTGCTCATCCTGCCGCTGCTCCTCGTGTTGATCCTTTGCCCCCCAGGGGGTCAAAGCGCCTCACTTGAAGGTGCTGCTCCTCGTGTTGATCCTTTGCCCCCCAGGGGGTCAAAGCGCCTCACTTGAAGGTGCTGCTCCTCGTGTTGATCCTTTGCCCCCCAGGGGGTCAAAGCGCCTCACTTGAAGGTGCTGCTCCTCGTGTTGATCCTTTGCCCCCCAGGGGGTCAAAGCGCCTCACTTGAAGGTGCTGCTCCTCGTGTTGATCCTTTGCCCCCCAGGGGGTCAAAGCGCCTCACTTGAAGCTCCACCTCCTCAAATCCTTTCCCGTCCTTGCTGCCCCGGTAATGCTTCAGGACCAGCTGTTCAATTTTGCTCACTGCAACGCTTGCAGTGAGGAACATGCAAAAGAGTTTTGAGAAACCCTGCTTTTGAGACATCACTTCAGCTAAGCTGCAGTGAGAAGGAAGAGAGAGAAAGAGTGAGTGAGTTTCGAGATGTCTCTCAAAACTCACTCAGAAAAGAGAAGACAGGAGGAACGGAACACTGCAGTGCACTGCAGGACACAACAAAACTGGATTTGAGGCGCCTCAAACCAGCAAACGAGGTCCTCACACCTCACATTCACTCTGACTCACTCTCACTGTCACCCTCACTCTCACTCTCACCCTCGCTCTCTTCTCACTCTCCACTCACTCTCGCTCTCCTCACGTCCTCTCTATGCTCCTCCCAGCAGGTCCCAGCCGTCTCCTTCCACTGCTGCTGCTGCTACTGCTGCTCTTCGCTGCTGCTGCTGCCACCGCTGCTGCTGCTGCTGCCACCGCTGTCGCTGCTGCCACTGCTGCTGCTGCTGCCACCGCTGGTGTCACTGCTGGTCTTCTCTTCTGCTGCCAACCACTGCTGCTGTCAGCTGTAGTGTCATTGCGGACCTCTCTCCTTCTCCAACCGCTGCTGCCACCGCTGGTGTCACTGCTTGCATCCCCTTCTCCTCCCACTGCCGCTGCCACCGCTGGTGTCACTGGTGGCCAACGCAGCATCAGAGCTGCTTGCTGTCGTCCCATCACTCCGCAGGAGGCAGCACCAGCAGCAGCTCGCAGATTGCTGGTGTCGATTTCGTGTCCCCTCTGTGCCTTCCCTGCTGCAGCTCAGGGCAGCGATTGACTGGCCTCCCAACACCCAGCAGCAGCGCCAGAAAAGTGTAGGGCATTCGTCTCGTGTTGCCACTTCTTCTGCCCCTGCCGCTGCTGCTCACAGTGCTGCTTCTGCCACTGCCGCTCTCCTCCTGCTTTCACTGCTGCCGCTGTCAATGCTGCTCCTGTTTCTGCTTCTCCTCAGACAGACTAACGCCCTGCACAGTGCCGGAGAGTCGCAATCGCACGGGGAAGATCAATCAGTGAGTCGACAGAGCAGATTGACAGAGTGAAGAAGATCGAATGCAAGGAGGAGAAAGGACAGCGGAAAAGCGACGAATAACACGAAAGCAATTGAAACTACCCAGGCAGAAAAAAACTCGAATGAGGAGAGAGAAGGGAGAGGGGGAAAATAAAAAAATGGGGGGTGTTTTGTCATGGCTCCAATTACTTACTTGCTTATCCAGTCGCTGCTGCTCCAGATGCCCCCAACGCAGCAGGTGCTATCCAGTCGCTGATGCTCCGTCTTCCCACCGACGCCTTAGCGTTGCCTCCCTGCACAGAGATCAGAGAGTCGCAGGGAAGGATAATCAGAGAAGAGTTGACAGAGCAAATTGACTGAGTGAAGAAGACCGATTTCAAGCAAGGAAAACGAATGCCTTGAAAACACTGAAGTGAGTGGAAAACGCGAATGAGGAGGAAGATGGGAGGGCGAGGAGAAGAGAGGAAGAGCTCCAGTTACTTACTTGCTTCTCAAGTCGCTGCTTCTCCTGTTGCTGCTTCTCCACTTGCCGCTTCTCCAACACAGCAGCACCGCTTCCAACACAGCAGCACCGCTCCAACACAGCAGCACCGCTCCATCACAGCAGCACCGCCTCCAACACAGCAGCACTGCTCCAACACAGCAGCACCGCTCCAACACAGCAGCACCGCCTCCAACACAGCAGCACCGCCTCCAACACAGCAGCACCACCTCCTACGCAGCAGCACCGCCTCCTACACAGCAGCACCGCCTCCAACACAGCAGCACCGCCTCCAACACAGCAGCACTGCTCCAACAAAGCAGCACTGCCTCCAACATAGCAGCACCGCCTCCAACACAGCAGCACCGCCCCAACACAGCAGGACCGCCTCCAACACAGCAGCACCGCTCCAACACAGCACCGCCCCAACACAGCAGGACCGCCTCCAACACAGCAGCACCGCTCCAACACAGCAGCACCGCCTCCAACACAGCAGCACCGCTCTAAAACAGCAGCACCGCTCCAACACAGCAGCACCGCTCAAACACAGCAGCACCACTCCAACACAGCAGCACCGCCTCCCACACAACAGCACAGCCTCAAACACAGCAGCACTGCTCCAACACAGCAGCACTGCTCCAACACAGCAGCACCGCTCCAACACAGCAGCACCGCTCCAACACAACAGCACCGCCTCCAACACAGCAGCAGCGCTTCCAACACAGCAGCACCGCTCCAACACAGCAGCACCGCTCCAACACAGCAGTATCACCTCCAACACAGCAGCACAGCCTCAAACACAGCAGCACCGCTCCAACACAGCAGCACTGCTCCAACACAGCAGCACCGCTCCAACACAGCAGCACCGCCTCCAACACAGCAGCACCGCCTCAAACACAGCAACACCGCTCCAACACAGCAGCACCGCCTCCAACACAGCAGCACCGCTCCAACACAGCAGCACCGCTCCAACACAACAGCACCGCCTCCAACACAGCAGCAGCGCTTCCAACACAGCAGCACCGCTCCAACACAGCAGCACCGCTCCAACACAGCAGTACCACCTCCAACACAGCAGCACAGCCTCAAACACAGTAGCACCGCTCCAACACAGCAGCACCGCCTCCAACACAGCAGCACCGCTCCAACACAGCAGCACCGCTCAAACGCAGCAGCCCCGCCTCCAACACAGCAGCACCGCCTCCAATACAGCAGCACCGCCTCCAACACAGCAGCACCGCCTCCAACACAGCAGCACCGCCTCCAACACAGCAGCACCGCTCCAACACAGCCGCACCGCCTCCAACACAGCAGCACCGCCTCCTATGCAGCAGCACCGCCTCCAACACAGCAGCACCGCCTCCAAAACAGCAGCACCGCCTCCAACACAGCAGCAGCACCGTTCCGCCTCCAACACAGCAGCAACGCCAGTCAACGTCATGCTTCCATGGACGCAGCAGCACCGCGCCAGCACCAACGCCTGTCAGGCATCTCTTCTCGTCCGCACCAACGCAGCAGTCAGCATCACCTCTTGCACGCTATTCTCCCGCGGCTGCACGGACGCAGCAGCACCGCTCCAGCTCTTGGCGAGAGATTAACTCCAGCTCTTGGCGAGAGATTAGCCCACGAACCGTTAGCTCCAACGCAAACCAGTAAACTAGCTCCCGCTCCAGCTCCAGTTCACGGCAGCACCGCTCCAGCTCTTGGCGAGAGATAGGCTCCAACGCTGACGAGGTAACTAGCTCCCGCTTCTGCACGGACGGAGACAGTTCACATCACGACGGGTGAGTGAGATACGGACGCCATGATATAT